GAATTTGACAAAATTAATCTGGTACCTGGTCGGAAAAGTTTTTTTCTTCATCCTGTAACTCATTTTGAAATTATTGAAACAATTAAAAAAACTACTAAAAAACATGCAGCTGGATTTGACAATATCGACGGTAAAATCTTAAACTTGGTGGGAGAAATTGTAGCTATTCCTCTGGCGTGTGTATTCCGGTGTATAAGGGGAAGGGTTGCAAAAGTGATCCAACCAATTATAGATCAATGTGCCTATCAAGTCAATTTGGCAAGGTTTTAGATTATTTATATTATAAAAGACTGCGAGATTTCCTAGAAAATAATAACCTTGTTATTGAAAATCAAAATGGCTTTCGACAAGGAAAATCCACACATACCGCTATAGCTGATGCCCTTAATTTTATATATGAAGGTCTCAATAATAAGCAGCAAATGGTGGGCTTATTTTTTGACCTAAGTCGAGCATTTGATATGGTTAACCATAAACTTTTGCTCAAAAAACTTGAATCCGTAGGTGTATACGGGGTCCACCGCTTAAGTGGGTCTCCTCTTATTTATCCGACAGAACTCAGATGGCTTTTTTTAAAAATTCACAATCAAGGTGTGAAAAAGTCTTACTTGGGGTTCCACAGGGGTCAATTCTGGGGCCTTTGTTTTTTTTATGTTTAATAATGACATATCTGTCTTATTTAATGAACTTGCTAAATTTGTATTGTATGCTGATGTTACAAATGTTTTGTTTGTGGATAAAGAAGTGAAAAATCTTTCCAAAAACTCTTCCTTGGTGTCAAACAGTTTAGTAAATGGTGTCAATAAAATGGATTACTTTTAAATGTTAATAAAAATGCAAGGCTTGATTCTAGCCTATACATAAACATTAATAGTTCATCAATTCCAGCCTGCGATACAGTAAAATTCTTAGGGATAACATTGGACCCAAAATTGACTTGGGAACCACATATAAATTCTGTATGTAAGAGATTAAGCTCCTTATGTTTTTTAATAAGGTCTCTTAGAGACACAGTGTCCTTTCCTGTATTGAGATTAATGTATTTTGGCGTAATTCAATCTATATTGTCATAGGGTATTATTTTTTGGGGTGTTTCAGCTCACTTTGAAAGAGTATTTTTATTACAAAAAAAACTTATGTCTAGATAGTAAAAGTCCATCATATTCGTGTAAACCGTTAGTTAAAAAATATTCATTTTTAACACTAGCCTGTTTATTTATTTACAATTTAATTATATACATTGAAGAAAATAAAGGTTTATTTATTCATTTTTAACACTAGCCTGTTTATTTATTTACAATTTAATTATATACATTGAAGAAAATAAAGGTTTATTTATATAAACAAAGGATATGCATAGTTATGGTACAAGAGGTAATAAAAACCTATATTTGCCTTATTCCAGATTGTCAGTCTCTTAAGCCTTTGCTTATCAGGGAATATGTTATTTTACCTTGTAAAAATATTAATATTTTAAAGAAAAAATTACACACTATTTTTTTAATAAAATGTACTATTCTGTTGAAGAATTTTTTAAGGATTCTTTTTAATTTTATCATTAAATTTTATTCTTGTATATGTTATAGTATAGTATATATAGTATAGTATTTAATATTAAGTGTCATTATTTTTACTTATTTTTGTGTCTAGTCATATAGGCAAAATTTACTGTGTAATTTTGTTTTACTGATGAATAAATTATTATTATTATTATTATTATTATTAAAATACATAAATAACAAAAAAAAATATTAAATTCTGTAATAAATTATAACTTATAATAAATAGAATCACATTTATATAAAAAAATTGCTTTAGGGGGGACTTAGCGAACCGAAACTTAAAACGTAAACGAAACCCTAGACCAAACCAGAAACAATTCAGCAATAATTTTGGCGGGCGGGTCGGGTCTGGACGGCGGGAACTTTAAATGTAAACTGCGAAGTTTTCGAATGTTTCACTTGGTTTACTGTGGTTTCGATATTTATGAAACTGTGAATATGTATATTTAAAAAAAATAGTTGATTTTAACAGAAAATATAGACTTTATAGACTTAAGGTAAAAAAAATAGACTTTTATAGACTTACGACAAAAATATAGACAGGTCTGACGAACCCCTAAATTAAAGATACCGAATGTACAGGCAGTATAGGACGTGACAAGTAGTACTTAATAAACGCATAAATCCTATGTAAGTAACTAATCAAACCATTTTCTAATCTTTGCATTAAATAAACAAACTGGGAGAGCTTCTCGAGTATAAAAAAATAAATATAAATGCAATTACTTAATTGTTAAAAAAAGCGTTAACACAATTTCTACCACAACAAGAAAACAACGAATAGTCGTTTTCAATAAATGGTTCCTACTACTTAATAATTAAATTAAATAATTATAGGGATTGCTTAGGTGAGTAAAAAAAAATACGTCTAAAAAAACTTTAAACCAAACCGAATTTTTGTCTAACCATTAGCAATTGCCTTTCCGCTTTCAGTAATTTTATCAATAACATAATATAAAGATTATCATCGATAAAAGAATCAGAAGTTTTTATCTGACCCAAAAAAAGCGGAAAAAACAAGAATTTCGTTTTGACTTAAAATTTAACCTTGAATAACTTTTGATGTAGCGAATTTAGCCAAAAATGATAGAAGACTTTTTTTGTTGAGCATTTGATTTCCCATAAAAATTTCTATCGGTTTTTTTTTCCGGGTACTGATTTTTAAATGAATTACAAAATTCCAATGTTAAAAGATCAAATTGTAAAACTATACCAATTTTAAGGCATGATTGTAAGAAAACGGTTCATCTGACGGGAAATTCCAATCAAAGCTTTTTTGTAGAACATTCAATTTTGTTAAACTCAATGGTTAGGAGTTCTGAGACAAAAACTCGCTCAGGAAAAAAATCTAAAATTGCGATGATAGACCTCTTAATATTAATATTCCGTTAGGTGGTATTGATTGTTAAAAGTAATACCTAAATACTAAATTTTAAGGATTAATATTTTATTTAATAGTAACGTGTCATAGTTAAGTTAAATATGTATTATTTTTTTAATCTAGAATACATTGCAATATTAATTTTAAGTTATTTAATATACCTACTGTTCACAATATTTCTAGTAAAGTCGAACCATACAAGGAACCATGAAATGATTAGGCTACTTTGTAAAGAATTACAAACCTTATAAGTAAGGCAGTAAAAAGTAACGCACATTTTTGTGAAATAAACGATATTCTAGAGCAAAATTACTTAAAAAAAAGTAAAAATTGCTACCAAAAATAAATCAAATAAACAATAATTATTGTACGGTAGAATAGCGAATATTCTACTGTTTTTATTATTTTATAATAATGCGTCTTATTTGTAACAACGCGGTGTAAAGCCGACAAAAGACAAAGGCGTGGCATGCTCAAAGCATGCCGCTCTTTAGGCGCGTGCCGAAAGCAAATTCGCTTCTGTTTTTATGCCAAGGATATAAATTTATTTCAGATGAAATTAATTAAAAAAAATTTACCCAAATATTATACTATTATATTTCTTTTGAAATTATCCCTGTCTCTGTCACATACACACACACAACTAAAATTTCTCACATTCCCTGGTTTATAAGAAGTTTCACTTCTATCACGCGTACGATGCTACACATGATTTTTGTTTACAAAATTTAAAAAAAATTAGAGGTTGGATCCGCAAAGTTTTTTCCTATGAGCCTTAAAATATTCATGCAAAACCACGGTCATTTTTTTTAAATGTTTACAGTTTGAATGTACTCCCTGATAGCAAAATTTGATTCTAAGAATCTTCTAAGAAGATATGACCCGGAATAATGGAATATTCTTAGAACCTTCCCTTATTGCTAAGAATGTTCTTAGGGACTTTTAAAATATTCAATAGATACCCTTTTAATGATGCAATTAGATTCTTAGAAGCTTCTTAAAACCTTCCTAAAAAGCATTCTAAGAACATTTTAAGAATACGTTTTTGGAATGTTCTTAGAAGGTTTCTTATGGAGCTTCTGGGAAGCTTTTGAGAATATTTCCAAATATGTCAGATACCCACGTTCTAATATGTTGGATTCTACATTCGTAAAATTCTTCAGGAGGCGACAAATACGCCTCCCTGTCATAATATGACAGTGAAATGTATTTGTCGTCCCCTTAAAAAAATTAGCGACATATTAATATATATTTATTTAAAAATAAAATAATAAATAAACAATTTGACCTCTAACCATAAGTTGTATGACATTATTTCATATCAAGTAAAATTGGAAAATTTTGTGGGATAAGTCAGATTAGATTGAAGTTGAAGATAGTTAGGATTATAATAATTATACATAAAAATGTTAATTCAGAAATAATAAATCGGTATACAAATTAATAAATTATTATTTTTAACATAAAATAAAATATAAAAAAACAAAATATTTCCTTATAAAATAATTCTTCATAAAAAATAGTTCTTCATAAAAAAACATTTTTCATTGTATGGTTGGATAGAAGATTTTATCTAAAACCCGGATAATTTAGATACCTATAGTAAAAGTATTTTTGTTATCAAATATTGTTTTAATTTGACAAATAACTATAAAAAATTATTTTGGCTTGTGTTTTTTACTTAGTATTTAATACTAAGTATAGGTTACCTTTATACGTAGATTATGGTATATTTTTCTATTAAATAGGTACCTAACTGAACTGAATATGCTTAGCAGAATGTTCCAGGAATATTCCTAAATGAACTTTCTATAGCAATTACTTTCTCAACATTCTAAGCATATATTTAGAGTGGATTAATTTTTACCACTAAACTTTGCACCTTCTAAAAACCTGCCTATAGGCCAGTGAGAATATTCTTAGGATGATCCTAAGAATATTCTCACTGGAAGGTTTAAAAAACATTCTTAGAACATCACTAGAAGAAATATAGCATGATCCTAAGAATATTCCCACTGGAAGATTTAATCCGAAAATAATACTTTTTTTTGTTTCAGCCATGATATTTGCGACTCTTTGGGCAATATTTCTACCATCTGCCAACCAAAGCGTCTACTTCCACCAAGACTCGAAAAGTGCCCACTCGGCAAGTGAGAAAACAAAGAGCGCCCTGAACAAAATGCGGCACCATTTTTTTACTTCGTTCTCTAACCCTTACATCATTAAATGGTCGCTGTGGTGGACATTGAACTTGTGTGGTTATCTCCAGGTGCAGACGTACATGCAACCGCTGTGGTCGGTTATCCAGACTGACAAGAGCAAGACTATTTACAACGGAGCCGTCGAGGCGATTTTGACGGTGCTTGGGTTTTTGGGGACCCTAGCTGGGGGCGTTTTGAAAGTCGACTGGCCGATGAAGGGCGAACTGGCAATGTCGATAATTTCACTTCTGGAGGGTTTCGTGCTCCTCTATATCTCGCAGACCGGAAGCCTTGAAGTGGGGTACGTGTGCTACATAACTTTCGGTGGATTTTTCCACTTCATGATAACCATCGCGAGTTCGGAAATAGCTAAGAATATTTCAGAGGATGGTTTCGGTTTGGTGTTTGGGATAAACACTTTTTTTGCGTTGGTTTTGCAATCGATTATAACAGCTGTTGTCGTCACCAAAAACGTGGGATTTGCGTTGGGGCCCCGTGATCAGTATTTTGTGTATGGGATTTTCTTTATTGTTGTGGGAGCGCTGTATATTGTAATTGGGTTGTCTTCTTGGTTTACCAGCAAAAAAGATATGAGAAAGGCCAGTATTGCTGTAAGCAATAAAATTTAGGTGCCAAGATTGTTTTTTTATATCGCCAAACTTAATAATGAACAAATATGTATTGTTAATATTCAGCACCAGTGCACATGTGCATACTTTAATTGTTTTAAAATATTTTTGTTCTTTATTATTAACAATAATTATTGTTACATTTATTGCTCTTTATATGTTTAAGATTTTATGGCAGTTTTTTAATTTAAGAGACAAATTTTTTAAATATTGCTTAGTTATTTAGTTTTAATTAAGTCAAAACTTGTTATATTTTTTAGGTATACAATTTTATAACTGACTGAATAATAAATTGTTTATAATAATGCATTATTATTTTTTAATAAAACAAAATTTAAATGTGCGTATTATTAAGGAAAATAAAACCATCCTGGAAGTATACGCTAAAGAAGTATCGGGTTTTCGCAACGCGGGCGCCATCTGGTGGACTTCGATAGCATTGCGTGAATTTAAGAATTGTCAACAATACATTTAAAGCATACGAACTGTACATCATTTTTAAATAAATAGGTAGTTTTTTCACAAGAGAGAGAAAGGCAGAAGTCTTACTCGACAAATTTGGTTCAATTGCACAGCTAAATCGCGCAAAAAAACTGAAATATACCTAGCCGAGGTTGGTAAAACGAGCGAGATGTAAATAATGTGTATAAGTATAAGTTTGTTAAATAATATAAATGTAATTGTTACGTAACAAACTTATTACAATAGTATCGCAATGTTACGTTTTTGTTACATTAGCAATTAATTGCTAATTGGTAATTTTGGTATATTACAATAGTTTCACAATGTTACCTTGTTGTTACATTGCTTATTTTTAATTTTGTTACATTACAATAGTTTCACAATGTCACGTTGTTGTTACATTGCTAATTGGTAATTTTGTTACATTACAATAGTTTCACAATGTTACATTGTTGTTACATTGCTTATCGGTAATTTTGTTACCTTACAATAGTTTCATAATGTTACGTTATTGTTATATTGCTTGTAGGTAATTGTTGGGTTGCATTTTAGTAATATCGTTACATTGCAATGTGACTCCAATGTTACATAACAGCAATACTGTGTTACGTTAAATGTTGACCGGGTTGCATACTATACTTTTTCTACGACAAATAGTTAGGTACTTATAAGTATTATTATTTAAAAATGATTTAAATTAAGTATTTGTATAGAGCGCCATTTATAAAACAATACGCTAAAGAAGTATCGGGTTTTCGCAACACGCGCGCCATCTGGTGGATTTTAAAAGCATTGCGTGAATTTAAGATTTGTCAACAATACATTTAAAGCATACGAACTGTACATCATTTTTAAATAAATAGGTAGTTTTTTCACAAAAGAGAGGAAGGCAGAAGTCTTACTCGGCAAATTTTGTTCAATTGCACAGCTAAATCGCGCACGTTATTTGTGTTTTACGTTGCAAGGAAAAAATTTAAAAACTTTTTTAGCACTCGATTTCGATTGATTATTCCTTCTATCGATGATAGACTATCATTGATTAAGAAACTCAACGCTTAATTAAATGCTTATATAGTTAAGTTAGTGTGTATATTTTATCTAAGGGATCATGGTGAATTATTGTGCTTTTAATTGTAAATAAAATTCAAGAACTAAATCGTTGCATTTTCATATTTTACCAAAGGATCCAATTCGGTAAGTACATTTGTTGGTGCAGAATTAACTAATGATAACTTTACATATATTTAAGTTTGGACATTTTTAAGAAATTAGTAAATAATAATTTTTGCACAAACATAACCTTAAAATCAACCATTTTTATATTTGAGCTCTCTTAAAAACGCCGACAACTGCATTTTAAACAACAAAATATACCTACGAATTCATTGCAAGATAATATTATAATAATTCATAATATAATGGTATTTTACCGTTGAGTGCACTCCATGGAGACTTTAAAGAATTCTTAATCAACGCTTTTAATTATTTGTTTGACGATTATTGAATTACTGAATTGAAATGTTTACACTTTTCACGTTAATCATTACTAAAATGTGTATTTATTGTACCTAATAGATACAATTTATATTTACAGGGACTGTATGAAATTTATTTCTTCATTCGGATTAACACTGTTTATTGGAAAACCGATAAAAACTCAACCCAGGATTTCCTCTCGAAATACACCCAACAACCCAGACCGCAAAATCACATTCCCTGCACATGCCAGGAATATTCCCAGGAATATTCCAATCGTCCCAGAATATTCCCAGGAATATTCCTGGCATAATCAAATGTCCGCTTTTTGATTAACCCAGGCATCATAAAAAGAATATTCCATATATCTGCCTGCAGAAGACTCAAGGATTATTAGGGGAATATTCCTTGATATAATTTGGGGATTATTCCCAGCCCATATTGCCTCTTATACCCAGAAACTTAACTTAAGTATAGCCATTATTGAGTTACTGAGTAGATCAGTCCCACTCTAATCATTGTTTGGCTGTGCCATCACAGACGCACATCTCCAACTAATATTATTAACCTATCGGTATATATAGTTATCAAGCGTGCGTAAGCAACGGTGAGAGGTATTGCAACTAAACTAATGAATATTCACTGGGAATATTCTTAGATGATGCTTGGAAGTTTTAGAGGATCATTCTAGCTAGGAATATTCCCAATGAATATTCCTAGAATGAAGCGGAATATTCCTAGGCGATACGGAATATTCCTGGAATATTTTCGAACCTCTGAGAACACAACAAATCGATCCACGGTTTTTTTTTCGATATTTTTTAAGATTATCTGGCTTTATTCTCAAAAACACTCGTTTGTAACCCAAACGTTTGAAAGCTGATTATTAAAAGTTGTACTTTTGTTACGATGATAACAACCGAGTGGTGGCGCTACTAGCGATACAGTATCGCCGATACTTCTTTAGCGTATACATTTTATACCTACGTGCGGAAAAGTAAAAAATATTCAAAAACCTATAGAACTTTCTACAATTTTGTGAGTTAATAATTACATGATAAATAAAGTTAAAAAAATAAATCAAAAGTATGATTATTATTATTATTATTATTATACGCTATAGCGTGGGTTTTTTTAGCTTAAAAATAATGCCTTACATGAAATTTATCATGTGCATGTATGTATAAACAAATTTAAATCTACCTGTTATGAAAATATCGTTACGGCGGTTGAATCGCTTCCTTCCCAGGAAACGAGCGACACCCCCACTTGTGGATTTGAATTTGAAACTGATTTCCGTTTTTAGTTATTATTCTTCTACACGTAAGCCGCTTTAATTTATTTGTTTATAATTGGAATTCCATGAAAAACAATCATCCTTACGTTAAAACAGATTAGTGAAAGTTATAAAAATATACTAAAAACATTTTCCCAACGCTATTTCCGCAATTTTTCTATTTTAGTGGCGGTTTTACCGCGAATTTATGACTCACCTGGCGAAACGGTCATTGTACATCATGTACATTTGAATGAACATTCGCTGAGTATTTTACAATACGTTTATTATTATTATTATTTTCATTTTTGTTTCATTTACTATTTGTATTTCGCAAGCCAAATAACACTTTGTCTCAAGCTTTCGCTGACGCGATGAAAAAGCAAAAAGAGATCACGCGAATTCTAATGAGCACGCAACAGCGTTGCCAAGTTTACTTTTATAACTTTACTCAATTTAATTAAAATCTTTTTGGCGGTTTAAACACCGCTGGTTTAAATAATATACCTATAATGTATAGGTATTTATTTTTAATAGATATTTTTAATACAATCTGCGGATAAAAAATATCATTTTGTAGGGGTAAAAAATTTGTTTTTATGGAAAAATTTATATAATATATAATATATTCACCCATATAATATATGGCATATACACCTACAATAATTAATAATTTACTACATATTACAATCCACACAACAAGGTCTGTTCTATCTCGTACTAAAAATACAAAAAATCACTGCAACACTGCACAGTTTAACGGCGGCCATTTTTGTTGTTTACAATTTTTGTGCTTTGGGTTTGTGCTCTGTTTATACAGATTAATAATCGTTTTAAACGTTGTGTTTCTCATAGTAAGCCTTAAAAGAGGCCTTAAAGTGCTAAGAACAACTATTTTACTCCTCTATTGTAAAAAATAAACTTTATTCTATCAGGGCTGTCATAAAACTGTCAAATGTCAATTTTAAGGTTAAATTATAACCCACAAATTAACCTTCAAATTGTCATTTGACAGCCCTGATAGAATAAGGTATATTTATTATAAAAGAGGAGTAAAATGTTTGTCCTTAGCACTTAAAGGCCTTATTTGAGGCTCTGTAAGAAACTCAACGTTTAAAACAATTATTAAACAGCACAAACCCAAAGCACAAAAATTGTAAACAACAAAAATGGCCGCTGTTAAACTCTGTGCAGTGTTGCAGTGATTTTTAGTATTTTTAGCATGAGATAGAACAGACCTTGTGTGGATTGTGAATCACAATTTGTGATACAAACAATGAGGTTCTTTACTTGTCATACTAATAACATGCTTGTCAAATTTTATTTACAATAATAAAAACATCCTGTAATAAAGCATTCGGTGGATTGGGAAAAAACGTTAGAGGTGGCAACAGCGCAGGTTTGTAATTTTGTACCTGACGATTGGAGCCGATTTCGTTGACCAATGAAAAAGCTATATTTAACTTCAAAGTTTCTAGGATGCATTTTTTGTTCCAAACAAAGTAAAAAAGCCTAAAAATGTGGTTAAAGTCGTCTAAAAAGTGTGAAACTAATTTTATATACAAATATGGTGTTTTGTAGTGTGTGTTAATTGTAAATAGGTCTTTTATTATTGTTGTGTCTTCTATATTGATGTTGTAACCAAAAAGTCGCTTGACCAAAATGGACGTAGTTAACGCTCAAATCAAATCGCAAAGTTCGATTTGTAGCGAGTCTACGGGAGACGAAACGCCTGCAATTATTGGTAAGTAGGTAATCACTTTTGCAATACCAATTCGAATGTTCCTTATCTAAAAATATACGTTAGATTTTATAGTTAGGTTATGTTGACTTTTTCAAGGTTAAGATTTAAGTTCATTCGCTCTATTTTTGTAAAAAAAAATCTAAAACATGCAATGATTTTCCTATTTTTTTTTTAGCTCCTGTAGACAGACGGATTTGTTTAGTGGGTGATTTACAAAATGATGATAAACTTCACACTGTGGCGGAAAGTTTTGGTGTACCTGTGGTCACTTCGAGTGATGGTCGTGAATATGTCGATGAAAAGTGTAGTACTGTATTTGTAATTAAACAATTTCACGGAGAAATTTACAATGTGTTATCGAAATACAAACAGTGTTTATTGGGGCCTCCTGCTTTACAACAACTGGCGAAAAAGAAGGAAGCTTTACCCGAAAACACTCGACCCCTCTATAACTTGGCTATGAGTGGGGTGGTTTCGTGTTTTACGGGGTTTAGGGTTAAGGAAGAACTTGTAAGATGTTTGCGTTATATTTCCTTTAAACGTGTTTATTTTGAGATTGGTTTTAGACAAAAATCGTTCCTTTAATCCATCACATGGGTGGCTCAATAAGAAAAGATGTTTCCCAAAAAGTTACACATTTAATAGCAAATCATGCAGGGGGGGAAAAATACCACTATGCTACAACATTTAGGGTACCAATAATGAATCTGAATTGGGTTCACTCCAGTTGGGAAAAAAAGGATGATTTGGATTTTAGTGCCTCGCAAGATACATTTATTGTAAGTTTTCCAATTTAGTATTAACAAAACAGAAAATAGATCTATTCATATGTTGGTAGAAATACTTTGGTAAATATTATTAGAAAATTTTTAGTTACATACAAATTTAACTTTTTCTATAGCAATTAGACTGGGCTAAAAAAATCATCTATTTTCTTTGAAAATATGGTTTGGGGTGCCAAAAAAAAATTATTGTGAAAGTTTGAGTCCATTATCACGGTGCTGTTCTGAGAGGTGATTTTTGGACTTTCTGTGAAATCTAATTTTTTTTATATTCTTGTTAATTAGGTCATAACTAAAATTTTAAGAGCAAAATAAAAAAAAATGTGACGGTTTGAATTGTTTTAATTGGATGTTTATTAAAAATATGTATGCACACTTTTAATTCTCCAATTAAAACTTGCGATTTTATTTAAATATTATCATAACTTTTTAAATCAGATTAAAGATTAGTTAATTTCCTAAAAAAAGGTTATACATTTTTTATATCTTTTACTGTTTTGTTGTAATACACGTTTATTAAACAATAATTCTAAGGGTGCCACATTTTATTTAGGGCCGATTTATTCATTTTTGATTTATTTGACGAATAATTTCTTTGGATACTAGATATTGCCAAGACATGAAAGTTATCGGCCCGATAAACTTTACTAAAGATGAATAAACTGGCCCTTGGTTAAATTTCATGAATTTCTTCGTAACTTTTACTACAATTTTTCATTTTTGTTTATAAAAAACACTTTAAAAAACTAAACAAAAATTATAGAATAGGTAAACTGAAAATGACAATTCAAACGTCAAATAAATTTTTAATAGATCTAAGTTTCATGGCAACCTTTAAGGATATATTAATTAAGGGAACATAAATGTATACGTCAAAGGTTAGATTAAAAGTTTGAACGTTTATTGCAACAAAACAGTAAAATATATATAAAAAAAATTGTAAAAACCTTTTTTTAGTTATGCAAATATTAAATATTTAAATTAAATCGCTAGTTTTAATTGGTTATTGAAAGAGTGCATAATATTTTTAATAAACAGCCAATTAAAACAATTCAAACCGTCAATTTTTTTTTATTTTCTCTTAAAATTTTAGTTATGACCTAATTAACAAGAATATAAAAAAAAATTAGGTTTCACAGAAAGTCCAAAAATCACCTCTCAGAACAGCACCGTGTTATATTAATATTAAGAGGTCTATCATCACAATTTTAAATTTTTTTTTCTTAGCAAGTTTTTGTCTCAAAACTCTCAAACCATTGAGTTTAACAAAATTGACTCAGAGATATTTTTTTAAGGAAATTGAATGCTCTACAAAAAAGGTTAAAATGATATTTTCCGTCAGATAAACCGTTTCCTTAAAATCATGCCTTAAAAATTGGTATAGTTTAACATTTTGATCATTTAACTTTGGAATTTTGTAATTCATGTAAAAATCAGTACCCGGAAAAAATCCGATGAATATTCTTATTCATATTCATTTTTGGCTAAATTCACCCAATGAAAAATTATTCAAGGTTAAAGTTGAAGTCAAAACGAAATTCTTTTTTTTTTCTCTCTAGATTTATTTTTTTATGGATGATAATTTGATTTTTTTCTTTTTAAATGTGTATTATATAACTAATTAACAATTTACAATAAAAAAACAACATGATTGTTATTATGTAAACGATTAAATAGGTAACAGTGGAAATAATATTTTCTAAAGAAAATAGCTTCTTAAAGCGAAAAAAATCGAATGTGTTATATTTTTTTTTAATTTTCAGTAATTTTTTCAATAACATAAAGATTATCATCGATAAAAGAATTCGTTTTAAACTGACCAAAAAAAAAAAATCTGGAGCGGAAAAAACAAGAATTTCGTTTTGACTTCAAATTTAACCTTGAATAACTTTTGATGGAGTGAATTTAGCCAAAAATGATAGAAGACTTTTTTTGTAGAGCATTTGATTTCCCATAAGAATATCTATCGGTTTTTTTTCCGGGTACTGATTTTTACATGAATTACAAAATTCCAAAGTTAAAATATCAAATTGTAAAACTATAACCAATTTTTAAGTCATGATTGTAAGAAAACGGAACTTTTTTACATATTGGTTTTTTAAATGACAAATTCGTTGGTAAGAAGTGGTTTTAGTTTACTAAACTAAACTAAAATAAGTTATGACAAATTTTAAGAATTTAATATAATAAAAATAAATGGGACAAGTTTTTAGGAATTAATTTATTTAAAACTTAACTACATTTTGTAAATATATAGGAACTATTTTATATTTTTCTAAAATATTTTGAACAAAATGCCTCAACTTTGTTATTAGAACACCTCATATATTTTTACATTTTTAAATTCTACATAATATTCCAAGTAAAATATCGTAAATATATAGGAACTTAACTGTATACAGGGTGTTTTACATTAGAAGTTTTTTGTGAACGGAAGAAGATATTGAATTAAAATTTTTTCTAAAATATTTTATATCGAATATCGATATCGAATTAAAATTTTAAAAGCCTTTATAATTCATTTAGGTTTTTTCTAACATTTTTTGAAAAAAAAGCCCTAAACTTTGTTATTTTAAATAGAACACTATATTTTTAAATTTTTAAATTCTACATAATATTCCAAGTAAAATAACTATACATTTTGTAAATATATATGAACTTAACTGTATACAGGGTGTTTTACATTAGAAGTTTTTGGTGAACGGAAGAAGATATTGAATTAAAATTTTTTCTAAAATATTTTAAACAAAATGCCTCAACTTTCTTATTTTAAATAGAACACCTCATATATTTTTACATTTTTAAATTCTACATAATATTACAAGTAAAATAACTATACCTAAAGTCAATAGTTTTCAAGTTATTAATATTTTTCGTTAAAATTTGAGAAATGCGTGTCAATCAAAAATAACCTATAACTTTTTTGCTATTGGGTTTACGAATAGGGGGTGGAATTTTTGTAATTTAAAAAAAATTGTTTAGAAGATTTTTTGTCAATTCTTTAACATTTTTTAACAAAGAAAACCCACTTGAAAAGTTAAAACTTTATTTAAAATGTAAAATGTGATTATGTTTTTACATAATCAAATAGTGAATTAAAAACCTTTTGTTTGATGTAACTATTCCCTACACTTGAAGTAAATAATTTAAGAAATATTTATCAATTTTAAAAATTTTAAATATACGCAATTTTTTTTATCTAAGATCTTTTAACACTATAGGTAGTTTATTTTTTTGGATTATTGCACTTTAAACATAAATTTTAATGTTAATGAAATTTATGCAAGTATTGTTTTTAATTTTTTCTCCCATTTTTAAGATGGATTATAAATTGAAGCCTTTCCATGGAGCCAAAGTGTGTTTCTTCGGTTTTCCAGAAGATGAAGAAAAACATATGACTGAAATTCTTGTTGGGAATGGAGGCACACCCACCACCATTGATGATCCAGGTTGCACCCATGTGGTAAGAAAAACAACAATTTTTATTTTATTATCATTGATATAAATAATAATTAATTAATTTAATAATACACCATTTTTTCTTGCATGATATTTTAGTTTTTGAAATTTAAGGTTGTATTTAACAAAACATTTTTTATCTACTTAAAGCTGAAAAATGAAGGTTTTAAAATTAAAAAATGGCATTGTATTGTTATGTTTTAATTTGGGTTATCATGGTATACATTTAATTTATTCAGATATTATTATGCATTTAAGAATATTGCGTTTAATCTAAATATATGTTTTAAAAATTATCATTAAATTTCAATTTTTCGTTTTAATTTAAATTTATTTACAATATCAATTTCTTTAAATTACAAATTATTGATAATGTTTTTTCTTATTTATTTGTATCCAACAGGCTTTATTGCTTTATCTTTAAGGGTTAGAATAAATATTATTTAATTAAATTAGAAATTATCTTATTTACAACAGAATAAACAAAATATTGTTTTTCAAGTGATATATCATAATATTTAAAGACAAATAATTTCTATTGCAAATCAGCAATAATAATAAGTTTTTGTAATTATTACTTGAAATAATATTTTATTCAAACTATTTAAGATATTTGCGTTTTTATAACTTTTAAAATATAATACACTGCAGTACAAACAATCCACCTCTAAAACGCCTTTTATAAAATCTTTATAAAATTTTGGATAAAAATACTTTAAATTATATCTCAGTTTAAATATTTTTAAAGCCCTTTTATTTAATAATAAAAAAACGTTCCAAAAATAACTTTTAAGTATTTTTTTTAAGTAAATAAAAATATGCTGTTAAAGACCGTATTTTTGTTAGTATACCCTGAAAATTTTGTACCAATCAAACAAACGGTAACAGCGCTTCAAAGTCGGTAAAAATGGCCCCTTTTTGATTATTTTGCTGAAAAGGGATTATTTTTGACGACCTTGAAGCGCTGTATTTTCGTTATAGTTCGTTTGATTTCTTCAAAATTTTCAGTGTATACTAATAAAAATACGGTATTTCATAGCATATTTTTATTTACTTAAAAAGGTTTTTTTGAGCGTTTTTTATTATTAAATATAAGGGTTTTAAGGATATTTTCTCGAAAAACCCTTCAACACGTAAACTGAGATATAAGTATTTTTATCCAAAACTTTATAAAGATTGGTAAAGGCGTTTTAGAGTTGGATTTTTTAACTTGTTATGCGTTAATTTTGACGCGCAGTGTATTACACAATCAATCAAAAAACATAATATTAATTTTAAAAGTCGTAAAAAACGCAAATAGTTTGAATAAAATATTGTTTTATTTTAAGAATAAGTTCAAAAAAAATGTTGCCTGTATTATCTATAAGAATTTAACATGCTTTTAGGTATAGATTTAAAGGGTATCTTTTATTTTATTTGCCTATTAGAATATTTTTCTTTATGCCTAAAATAGTGCAATAGGATCTAGTACACAGAAAATCTGTAAAGGGTTTAAAATCTGTTCTTTGGTATTGTGTTTATTGTACAATATTATTATGTTCCTAAATATCTAGGGCATTAAATCAGAGAGTCGTATGTGCCAAAATAAAAAATTACCAGAAGAAAAAAACGTTTAAAAGTTCCGTGTGCCTGAAAATACTACTAAATATTTACAAAAACCAAACTGAAATATTTTTCATAAAAACTTTTAATCTTCTATTGTCAAATTTTTCATTTTGGCGCATATGCCCCTCTACTTTAATGCCCTCGATATTATTATTATTATTAAATAGGGTAAACCAAATATATAGTTATTGGACACTTAAGGAATATTATTTATTTAAAATTTATATATGCCGTTGTTTTAATGATTTTAGTTTTTTTCTTATAAATATATAAAAAGGATAGTTTGTTTATTTAAACTTTATTTACGTTTACTTAAAAATAAGAATATTTGAATTTTTAATACCTAATAGTTTTATAAAAACATGCAAAAGAAATTTTATATAGTAATTTGACACATGGACCATAGTTATTGCATAGTTATTGGATAAATTGCTGTTTTAGGAAATTTTTTTATTTCGTTTTTGTAAATATCATATAATTCATATATTTCTTTCTCGGATTCCTCATCCCTTTTCTGGATTCTGAAGGTAACTACTAATTCCTTGCTCTGACATCTGAAATAGTTTGTTGCAAATATCATTAAGTGTGGTATCTCTAGTTTGTGAAGCATTTATAATGTTTAGGCCGGAACTGGATGATTTATATATATATCTAATATTTTTTTCGGGTGGTATGTTAAAATTGTTTTCCGAATTTTGTTGCCATTACTTTTTTATGTTCTCTATCATGCACTGTATTTAAATCACTGTTATTCTGCAAGATGTCCTGTAAAGAAGAAATCACCATATTACTTACTCTATAAAAATGAATTAGTCAAATATGTCATAGCGAAAAAGCAGCCACTAATAATTCTCGTCAACAGCAATTTGTATCCAGGACATTTAGCAGTCAATTCCTTTGAAATATTATTCGCTGAATCCGAAAATGTCTTCAAAACTTATAAAAGTAGAACAGTTTTTGAAATATAATTATATATTATATATATATATATAATTAAACTAATATGGAATTGACTATATCTCAAAAACAAAAACGGATTCAGGGGACAATTTTACATAAGAATTGGCTGGCATATGTCCGGGATACAAATAGAGTATGATTTTGGACATATGTCCAATAATAGAAATTTACATTTTACTGTTTGTTTTCAGAATTAAAATTAAATCGCATTAAAGTGACAATGTTTAAACCATGAGAAACACATTTATACTACAAACTTTTTAGAAAGGTTTTTTATGGTAATTTAAACACAAAAAAACAAAAATCTTACCACCAAAGTAACGTGCGAACTTTTTTGTCCTATATTGGACCCAAAATAAAGTTGTTCTATATTATTACCGACTAAGATATTTATAATTGTATACAGAGTCATCTAATGATTTGACTTTAAGGTAACTATTTATATAACTCTTGTTTTTACAGTATTAATTTTAATTGTCCAATAACTATAAAGTGTCCGATAACTGTCTAATTAAATTAAACAAGAACGATACTGTTTTTAAATCATCATCATCATTTTTGTCTTTGATATTACTTAAGTGGCTTAATCGTAAATTATGTGGAACTATACCATTTAAGAAGCGCCTGGCAGGTTTACCCCCCACTACTAACCTAAAAATTACCTTTAAATCTTTAAAATTTGCACAGTAGATTAAATTAATTAGGCCATAAACTAAAAACATCATTTGCATGGTCGTGGGTTTTAGGTAATGGAGCATTCCGAAGTCTACACACTGGAGCCGGCCAGTGGACCATTTTCCCCCAAGATAACCTCCCCCGAAAACGTGACACCGCCTCCCACTCCTCAACAACCGTCATCCGCCCAAAAAACCAATCCCCACACTCCCAGTTACCAGTTAAACAACTGTTGCATAACCTCGATGTTTTCGAACAAAGCGAATCAAACCGTATCGTGTTTGGAAACGTTGCGGGAAACGTCGCAAGACGAAATTTCCGAAATTTCGTTCGACGTGGGACACAGAAAGCGCAAGTTCATTTCGCCGGATGAACCGGGTGCGAAACGCAAACGAGACAAATGTTACAGCGAGAAAAAGAAAAAAGTGTCGGAGTTTTTCAAAACCCCCATCAACTACTTTTCGAATAGACGGCGGACAATTGACGCGACTAGTTTTAGTAACAGTATGAACGAGAGCGTTCTCTCCACTTCCGGCCTTTTCAATGTGGAAACCGTTTCGAACCTAAGCTGCTGCAACGACGACACGCCGCGCGGTACTCAAAAGCGCGCCAAGAAAAACCTGTTCACTCGCACGTTTAGCTCGTCGAAATTTTTGCGGTCCAAGTCGAAAAAGGGCGACTTGAACGCCACGCGACTGTCGTTTAGCGAGGCTGCCGAACCCGATGGCCCCGACAAAATGAACGCGAGTTGTTTTCCGGACTTTTCCATCAACCAATCCATCCGACAATCCCGTTCCGAAATTAAAATTGACGTTCTAAAGGCCAACAAAGGACCCCCTGCATCATCGGTACTAACTTCATTTCACTGTATTAAAGAGTTTTTGCAAAAAGTTTTACATTAAAATTAATAAATTTAAAAGGATTACATTACATCATGGTGTTAGTTTTTTACTATATGAAGTTCAAATTAGAAAATAAATAAACAGTCGACCTATTTTGCCAATTTTTTTAAGGTAATGTTGCCCATTTTTCTCCTGGCACGGAATCTAAAATCATGATCTGACAAATTTTCCTAACTTTTTTCTAAAAAACTGATTTTTCGAAGGGGAGATACTTTAAACAAAATAACTTAGTTACCTCTGGTAACTAGACACTTTGAGTTGAAAGTATCTTTAGTTACAAGATACTTTAAAAAGTATCTAAGATACTATCCGAAAGTATCTAAGATACTATATGAAAGTATCTAAGATAATTTTGAGTAACTAAGGTACTTTCAGAGCTGGGAAAGTTACTTCTGAAAAGTATCTAGCTACTTTTCTAAGATACTTTAAACAAAATAACTTAGTTACCTCTGGTAACTAGATACTTTGAGTTGAAAGTATCTTTAGTTACAAGATACTTTAAAAAGTATCTAAGATACTATCCGAAAATATCTAAGATACTATATAAAAGTATCTAAGATACTATATGAAAGTATCTAAAATACTTTTGAGTAACTAAGATACTGTTAAGTAACTAAGATACTGTGAAGTAACCTTAGAACAAAAGGAAGTAACTAAGATACTTTAGAGTTACTAAGTTCCTTTCAGAGCTGGGAAAGTTACTTCTGAAAAGTATCTAGTTACTTTTCCAAGATACTTTTAACAAAATAACTTAGTTACATTGGATAACTAGATACTTTGAGTTGAAAGTATCTAAGATACTTTTGAGTAACTAAGATACTTTTAAGTAACTAAGATACTTTTGAGTTACATACTAAGTTACTTTCAGAGCTAGGAAAGTTACTTCTGAAAAGTATCTAGTTACTTTTCTAAGATACTTTAAACAAAATAACTTAGTTACCTCTGGTAACTAGATACTTTGAGTTAAAAGTATCTTTAGTTACAAGATACTTTTAAAAGTATCTAAGATACTATCTGAAAGTATCTAAGATACTATATGAAAGTATCTAAAATACTTTTGAGTAACTAAGATACTTTTGAGTTACTAAATTACTTTCAGAGCTGGGAAAGTTACTTCTGAAAAGTATCTAGTTACTTTTCTAAGATACTTTAAACAAAATAACTTAGTTACCTCGGGTAACTAGATACTATGAGTTGAAAGTATTTTTAGTTACAAGAGACTTGAAAAAGTAACTAAGATACTTTTGAGTAACTAAGTTACTTTTAAGTTTGAATAAAAACTATAAAATTATAAAAATTCAACAAGTTGTAGGTTAGGTAATTACTTTGAATCATTCTGGAATTCCCCCAATTTTATCTCAGAAAGTTACACTGAAAAGTATCCAAGTTACTTTAAAAAGTATCTTAGTTACTTTAAAAAGTATCTCAGTTACTTTAAAGTATCTAAGTTACTTGAATATATCTTGGTTACTTTACTGAGTAACTTAGATACTTTTTAAGCTACAAGTTAGAAGATACTTTTCTAAAGTAACTAAGTTAAAGATACTTTCTGTCCAATATAAAAAGTATCTAAGATAAAGTATCTTTATACTTTAAGTATCTAAGTTACTTATCTTTTTTTTCAAGATACTCCCAGCTCTGATTACTTTTAAGTATGAATAAAAACTATAAAATTATGAAAATTCAACAAGTTTTAGGTTAGGTAATTACTTTCATTCTGGAATCCCCTAATTTTCTCTAAGAAAGTATCTAAGTTACACTAAAAAGTATCTAAGTTACTTTAAAAAGTATCTACTTTAAAGTATCTAAGTTACTTGAATGTATCTTAGTTACTTTACCAAGTAACTAAGATACTTTTTTAGATAAAAGTTACAAGATACTTTTCCAAAGTAATTAAGTTCCAATATAAAAAGTATCTATGATAGAGTATCTTAGATACTTTAAGTTTTAAAGTTACTTTTAAGTATCTTTTTTTTCAAAATACTCCAAGCTCTGACTCCATATGACTTTTATGAGTATATCTTTAAAGTCGAGTTTATCGTTATAACTGCGCAAACTTGTCCGAACGTGATGGCAAATTCTAGGAGTGCCAGTAGAAAAATGGGCAACATTTGGACAATATAAAAAAATCTCAAGTTTTTCTTCAACAAATTTGTCAAAATTGGTGATTGGTTTTTTAATTTGCACAGCAATTTTGAACAATATTTAATGAGTAAAAATTAAAATTAGATTTTAATTAAATGAATAACGATTTTTTTCTCACTTAATTTTAACTTTTAAGTTTGACTTTATTTATGATTTTAAAAAGGATTTAAATTTTTTGAAAAGTTCTTTTAAAAATACAACCAAAACCTATTTCAAGAGTAAAAATTAAAAAAAATCACAAAGGTTTTTTTGGTTTAAAACTGCTTGATTGGGCATGGAATTTAGATATAAATAAGTATCAACTTTGTAATATTATTATTACTATAGTTATTTAAAAAAAATCAAATTTCATGTGCCTGATATTCAGGGCTGGTAACTTTGACTGGTTAAACGGGAATCAACAAATCTATTTTTTTTTTCGTTTTCAAGATACAAGTTAAACTCTAATATGTCACTGACATTTTTATGGTTGCCGACAAAAAAATGATAAATGTTAACGTTTTTTAAAATAAAAACTTTCTCTTTTACAAAAAGTAAAAAACAACTTTGGATATATTGAATTTAAATGAGATAAAATAATCAAATTTGTATGATTCCAAACAGTATTAAATATGACGTGATAAAAACTTTTTGCAAAAACATACGCACTAATTTCGTAAACATTTTCAAAACGTCCCAAACGTAATTCACATCTTGGTCTTTGGTTCGTTTTGAAAATCGACTTAGGTTTGTCTTCCCGCTTGAATGCATCACCCTCTCCAAAAATATGCGAGGTTTTTAAAACGCAACCCTTTAAAACGTCTAATTTTCCCTTGAATTTAGGTGGTGGACGAATCGTCGCGCAACGACAAGCAGCAACCGGAAGCAGCGAATAAGGCGCATGTGGTGAAAGCAGAATGGTTCTGGACCTCCGTGCAAAAGGAAGTCAGTCTGGAGGAGAAGGAGTACACTTTGCAGGAAGTAAGTAGTGATTCTCTAGGCGCCTGCCTCTACTCGGAGGCCGAAACTTTGGTCTTAGGGTCAGTTCTAAACGAATCTTTTTGCTCGCAAGACCCGCTGTCTTCAACTCAACAAATTTCGTTCGATAATCACGAGTTTCAGCGATTTTTAAAAAAGTACGTCTGCTTCTTCGACATCGATGATTGCGATTGCAGGAAAATTTACAAGATCGAGCAACTTTTAAAAGTTTTTTTGGAAGGCGGAATTCCCGTTTTGCCCAAAAAGAAGAAATGCACTTGCGCAATAGACGCTGTAGTTAAATCGCTTGCCGATATAAGTAAAAACGAAAGTGTGGTGCTTCTTAATAAGTCTTTCATTGATAAATATTTTGAGTTTGAAGTTAAACCGTTGCTGGAATTTGAAAGTACCGTTGAAAATACTTGTTGCAATATTTTGTAGTTCCTACAATTTTTCTTTATTATTATTAATAAACTTCACATTAGACTGGGCCAAAAAAATCGATTGTTTTTGTAACGTATATCGAAAATATTGTTTGGGTTGACAAAAAAAAATTATTGTGAAAGTTTGAGTCCATTATATTAACAAATATTTTTTTAAGGAAATTAAATGCTGTACAAAAAAGGTTGAATGAAATTTTCCGTCAGATGAACCGTTTCCTTAAAATCATGCCTTAAAAATTGGTATAGTTTTTTCATTTAGATCTTTTAACTTTGGAATTTTGTAATTAATGTAAAAATCAGTACAAATGCTTTACAAAAAAAGCCTTTTAACATTTTTGGCTAAATTCACTCAATCAAAAGTTATTCAAGGTTAAAGTTGAAGTCAAAACGAAATTCTTTTCCTCTGTAAATTTATTTTTTTATGGATGATAATTTGATTTTTGTCTATATAAATGTGTATTATATAACTAATTAACAATTTCCAATAAAAAAACAACATGATTGTTATTATTTGAACGATTAAATAGGTAACAGTGAAAATAATATTTTCTAAAGAAAATAGCTGCTTAAAGCGAAAAAACTCTAATGTGTTATTTTTTTTTAATTTTCAGTAATTTTAACAATAACATAAAGTTTATCATTGATAAAAGAATTCAAGTTTTAACTGACCCAAAAAAAATCTAGAGCGGAAAAAACAAGAATTTCGTTTAACCTTGAATAGTTTTTGATGGAGCGAATTTAGCCAAAAATTCTAGGAGATTTTTTTTGTAGAGCATTTGATTTCCCATAAGAATATTTATCGTTTTTTTTCCGGGTAGGTACTTATTTTTACATGAATTACAAAATTCCAAAGTTAAAAGATCAAATTGTAAAACTATTCCAATTTTTAAGGCATGATTTTAAGGAAACGGTTCATTTGACGGAAAATTTCATTTTAACCTTTTTTGTAGAGCATTTAAATTTCTTAAAAAAATATTTTTGAGTCAATTTTGTTAAACTCAATGGTTTAGGAGTTCTCAGACAAAAACTCGCTCAGGAAAAAAAAATCTAAAATTGCGAGGATAGACCTCTTAGTATTAATATTACGGACTCAAACTTTCACCATAATTTTTTTTTGCACCCGAAACAATATTTTCGATATACTTTACAAAAAAAAATAGTAGATTTTTTTGGCCCAGTTTACTTCACATACATTAGTAATTTTAATATGAAAGCAAAAACTGTTTGATCAGAACTAAGGCAATAATATTTTCTAAATCCTTGTTGTCTAGTTTAACTGTTTTACAGTACTTTATCTTAATATTAAACATTTTAATGGTATACACTGGGTGCCTATGAAACACTTCAACTAGCTATAGGGAGTTCGATTATTTTCATAAATAATCGTGCTACGTCAAAATCTTATCATTTTTTATTAATATTATAAAGCTTATAAAGTTCTTTCATTTTATCAATATTCAAGTAAAAAGTTATAAGTATTTTATAATTTTTTCTACAACTTATCAGATATTTCCTGCATTACTCCGAAAATATGTCGTTATTTGTTAACGTCGATATACATACAGTAATGTAATTTCTTTATTTATTGTGCGATTTTAACCGGATTTGTTTTAAAATGTATATCTTGATAAACTGTATTTTTGAAGCAAAAAACCCAATATACAGTTTTTAAGAGTAAATTTTTAAGAATTCATATAGTCGATTTTTTTAAACAAAATCTAAGCAGGGCACTAGTTCAGCTGAATTCACCACCCCTCAAAATTACCCTATACTAAATTTTTTTGAAAAATTTTAAGTATAAAAATGCACAATAATAACTACAAAAATTTATTTTGTCAAGTTATCCATATAAAAACATTGAAATAAAATTGAACTTATAGTATGTTGCTATTAGTTTATATTTATTTCAATGTTTTTTTTTTCATGGATAACTTGACAAAATAAATTTTTGTAGTTATTATTGTGCATTTTTTTTTCTTAAAATTTTTCAATAAAATTTAGTATAGGGTCGTTTTGAGGGGTGGTGAATCCAGTGCCGTGCTTAGATTTTGTTTAAAAAATCGCTCATATGAATTATTAAAAATTTACTCTTCAAAACTGACATAGTAGGCCTTGTATTTTGTAAAAATATGGCGTTTTTTGTTTTAAAAATACAATTTATCAAGATCTACACTCTAAAACAAATCCGGTTAAAATCGCACAATAAATAAAGATTTTACAGGGGTGAGTCGCAAACAAATGGGTCACACTGTACATAAACTTTATTTAATTCCAAAACTTAATTTTCAAAACAAGTAGATGTGGTACAATAATGTGTTGTAGTAAAGTATACTTTTGCAAAGTAAAATTTGGTATAATAATAAGAGGAGTAAAAAGCACAGTTTGTTGAGTGTTTCTTTGGCACCCACTACATACCTTTGTTAATTCTTGCAATATTTTTCAACTAGTCGGTAAAAATGAAATGAATAAAAAATTAATATAATACATTTTTATTTTAACTAGACTGCGCGTCAAAATTAACGCATTCTAACTCTAAAACGCCTTTATGAAATTTTGTATAAAAATACTTCAACTTATATCTCAGTTTACGTGTTTGAGGGTTTTTCGAGAAAATATTTTTAAAGCCCTTTTATTTAATGATAAAAAAATCGTTCGAAAAATAACTTTTAGGGAATTAAAAAAAGAACGAAGATACAGTGCTTCAAAGTCGGTAAAAATGACTCCTTTTTGATTATTTTGCTAAAAAGTGGTCATTTTTGACGACTTTAAAGCGCTGTATTTTCGTTCCTGTTCGTTTGATTTGTACAATATTTTCAGGGTATACTTACAAAAGTACGGTATTTCACAGCATATTTTTATTTACTTAAAAAAAAAATCTCTAAAATTGAAGTATTTTTATACAAAATTTTATAAAGATTGGCGTTTTAGACTTGGATTTTTTACTTGTTTTGACGCGCAGTGTAATACATTTTTATTTGAACTTATTTTTAAGTTATTTATTGAATGAGAAATTGTTTTTTTATGCAAATGTTTACGGTTGTTATCAATTTTTGTGTTTCCAACACGTCACTATTTTATTAGTTTTAGTTTATGCTCTATATGTATGTAGTTTATAAGTATTTTTGTAAATAAATCGTTTAAAGAATAACAATAGTTTTTAGTATACCCGTCAGTTTTTGCTGGTTGAAAAAAATTGCGACAAAAACGTGATAATAATTAAAGAATTCCAAGCATGCATCAGTACTTGATACGGGTTAGGCACGGTAAAATGCGTAGGGTAAAGGAGGTGTTTTAAGGCGGGATTGTTTTGCAGCCTCCGGACAACGTGTTGTCGCCCAACGCGCGTCGCGACAGTCACCTGGCGACGCCGGGCAGCCAGAGCCGCCGGAAGCGGAAACGACTGCAGAACGAGATCATCTCGTCTCTGGCGCACCAGTCGCCCAGCGTGCACAAGAGGAGGTCGTCGGTGAGCGATGCCGGCCTCCTGTCCGTCTCGAACTCCTTCCTGGACTACACGCAGAGTCCCGAAGGCAAAGCCAACGATGGCTGCGTCGCGACGGCGGACAGTCCGAAGAAACAGGTGACGGCCAGGCACCAAGTGTTCTTGGAACTGGTGCAGACCGAAAAGAACTACGTCGAGATTTTGGAAGTGATATTAAACGTGAGTACAATCATTTAATTTATTCATAATGTTTGGATTTTTACAAAGAGACAAGTTTGGGAGCTGGGAGTATCTTGAAAAAAAGTAACTTAGATACTTAACCCAAGCAACAATTTAAGAATTCGTTACGTATAAGGGTGATTTTCAACAAACACCCGCTTTCAGGAAAATGAAGATCAAATTTTTTTTTTGCTTAAATTGACTTTTGGTTGGATTTTTATAAATGTTTAGAGTTTTGTTTACTTACATTTAAGACAGGCAGTGCACTTTTTAGTTTTTTTCCAAAATTTAATTCAATAAAAAAAGTTGTTATACAAATAATTTGAAATAAAATGTACTTAGTTCACAAACTTTTGACTCCAATTTTATTTTTTATTAAAAATTAGATGCCTTTTATAAATATTTATGTTAGTCGTTACTTTTTAAAAGACACCATTCCGATTCTTTGTTAAAAAAACAATACCATTAATATTTTCTTTTAGTCACTGTATTAGTGAGTTAAACTCTCATTTATAAACAGGTATTACCAAGTGATAGTAAATTCATTTTAAGGATTTTTTTAACAAAAACTAAAAAAAGTAACGAAATAGACATTGGTATCACAACGGACTTAATCAGATAACGTAAAAAAGAAACTATAAAGGGTGGTACGATTTTAGAGTAATGCATAAACAAAATCCCTTGTAGTGATGCTCACTTGCAGAATAACAACTTAGATTTCTAAATTATAGACACCCTTTTTCTTTGACTATAAGCTGGTTTCTTTTAGTACTTGTATATTGCGTGGAATTTTCCCTTGGATGTAATCTATATCATGAGTTGTAATCACAAATAATTTTAAATTGGTTTATCAAAAACTACTTTAAATAAAAGCAACGGTAAATATCCACTTTGTTGTCGAAAAATTCTATTGCGTTACCCTAAATTCCATTGCGTTACCATAAGGTAACGCAGTGGACAAAGTTTTGTGAAACCATATTTAAAAAATAATAATAAGACATTACAGTCATTAATTACTCTCATTTTTCACAGAATATGCTACTTGTTTCACCTAATACATGGTGAGTCATTTAACTTGAAACTTTGAAATATCTCAGTTGGTATGCATTTTACGAAAAAATGTTTAAAATAAAAAATAAATTATTCGAGGGGGGAAATTAATCAGTACTAAAATTGGTCCTCATACTCTCCTCCTTATATGGGGAACAAGGTGTAACTTTAAACTTTTCAATGGAACACCCTATTTTTTATTGCAGATTCGGATCATTCGACTAAAAATAGGTAGATTTTGTCTAAAACATGTTTTCATATTTGTAATAGATAGCGCTGTAATGAAAAAAATCAATTTTGTTCGATTTTTCTTCTGTATACGATTCTCCAATAATTATTGAATGAAATGCTTGCTTTTATTTTTTAAATTTATTTATTTATTTCGTTTTAATATTCTGCTCTGGGATATTCCCAAATCTCTATATAATTCCCGTGTGCTTGCATGAGGATTAGCGGCCAATACCTTAATTTCATTATTTCCACCTGTGACTGTTGCTCGACGAAATCTTTTTTCGGTTGAACACTCCCGTTTGTAGTAAACTGCTTGACTGTACGGTGAAATGAAGTACGTGATCGAATTTTATCCGGAAAACGCTGAGCGTAGATATTAACAGCATCATCAAGATTCCTGCCTGCTTCTCCAATGGAGAATCTCCATAAATCAAAATCACTTCTATTTTTTCTTCCACTGTTAAAAAATCCATTATGAATAACTGCTTAACGAAAGGAGGTATTTTTGTTTGCAAATTAATCTTTGAACTAAATTGATTAAATAATGCTAAACTATAAATAGTTTCTTTATACATCAATAATAATTATTATTTATAACTAAATATCATTTTTTATACCTCAATTGTATTATTGTATCCAGTTAATTTGACAATTAAAAAGCCATTTTTTTCTAAAATTAAGGATTTTCGAGTGAGAAAAAAAAATTAAAAAAAGTATTTCTTCACCGAGAATTGAACCCGGACCTGCTGCGTGGAAGGCCGGTAACCCAAACACCCGACCAATCCGTGTCTAACAATTTATAAGCAAATAAATAATTAACATAAAGAACGTACTTGGAAATTGTAATTGGGGAGTGATTTTTCAAAAAGTCGTATTTCCATTTGCAACAATTTTTCAAAAAAATGACTATAACCTGTATAGGTTAGGGCAATATAGATAATTAAAAAAAAAATTCTGATGAATATTTAATAATACTTCAGACCTGCTGTCATATATGCCTTTTAACCATACCTTTGGGATTTTGTCAAAAAATTACATTAAAGTAAAAATGGAAATAAGGCCTTTTGAAAAATCACTCCTCAATTGGAAATTAAATAATAATGAATGTTTATTGTTTTTAACAATTAAAATGATCTTTTGTCCTTTATTACTCTTATTTTACACACTTTTATTGCAGCAGGGCAGTTTGATCCTCAAAGTACGGTTCTTTATTTTCAAAAAATCCAAACTCCAAAACGAAAAAAGATGGACTCGTGCCGTTTTCACAAAAATTATTTGCCATCAAGAAATCATGTTTTCAAGTTATATACTTTGTGTCGTATAGCTCTCTTTCTCCTTGTGTTGTATAGCTCTCTTTCTCCTTCTCTCTACGTTACATCTTTTTTCTCTCTCGGGTAACGAAATCTCGGAACGTTACATTTTTTCCAATTCATTCTCCATTCTCGTGAAATATCAGAACGCCACCAAAGAAGTTTCACTTCAAAAAAAGAAAAGTTCCTAAGTTTTCGTATTTTTTAGCTATTTAAAAGAGAGTTGGAAGAGCAAGACGACAAACTGATAAACTCCACGGAGATGAACCTGATATTCGGCAAACTGCCGCCGATCTACGAGGCGCATTCCCTCATGCTCAAAGAGTTCGAGTTCTATAAGAACTCGTGGACGGAGGACGCGAAAATCGGCGACACGATTTGCAAGCACAAGGACAAGTTGCAGAGCGCTTATCCGCACTTCATCAATTACTTCGAAGAGATGAAGGAGACGATAATGCGTTGCGACACGAAGTACCCGCGTTTCCACGCTTTCCTCAAGGCAAAGCTGACGAAGCAGGAGTGCGGCAGACAGACGTTGCCAGAACTGATGATCAGACCCGTTCAACGCTTGGGCAGCATCAGTTTACTCTTACATGGTGAGTTTTTCGATTATTTTATTAAACTAAATGAAGCAATTTTTAAGATACAGAAAAAGGATTTTCTTATACGGTACATTAGTGTACAATGGTATAAAAAACTATAGAATATTAAAACGTTTATTTTAGTAAATAGTAAATTTGATTCCGTTAGGTTATTGCAAGAATACTTGAGACAGAATAGCGTGCCGTATATTCTCGAGACGTAATCTTTTATTTCCCATAGCTGTGTTCCTTTTACCACAAACGAGTTGTCTAAACCACACCCACAACTCTGAAAATATACGGCACGTATTTGTACTTGGCCAAGTACGAGCCCTAACACAAAAATGTTCGAACACTTCATAATTTATACAGAAATATTTTTCGTGAATACTATCTCAAAATTTTTAGAAGTTATGAAAAATTCAGCTCATTTTAGCATATACCCCTCGAAGCGATTTTTATTTTTAAAAAGTTTACCTTTTATTTTTAGCTTTTAAAAAAAGGCTAACTTTTAAACTTTTTTTTGTATGAGTAAAAAAAGTTATAAATGGACCCATTAAAAAGAGCATAAAATATTATACAAACCCTGAAAATTTGGTAAAAAATAAATTAGTTATAAAAAAGTATAAGTAATTTAAAAATGCTATTTTTAAAGAGTTTTTGCAATTTTCTTAGGAAACGGGAGATTTTGCAGATTATATATATATCGTTATAACTTATTATTTATACAATTTTTACCAAATTTTCAGGGTTTGTATAATATTTTATGTTCTTTTTAATGGGCCCATTTATAACTTTTTTTACTCATACAAAAAAAAGTTAAAAAGTTAGCCTTTTCTTAAAAGCCAAAAATAAAAGGTAAACCTTTTAAAAATAAAAATTGCTTTGAGTGGTATATGCCAAAATAAGCTGTATTTTTCATAACTTCTAATAATTTTGAGATAGTATTCACGAAAAATATTTCTGTATAAATTATAAAGTGTCCGAACATTTTTGTGTTAGGGCTCGTATAGAAAGTTTCATCAATTTCTTATCATCACGTTATAAGATAATATTATAATATTGTACTATGCTCCACCCCTCAAAGTCCCACCACGTGACCACGTACGGAACGCAGTCTTTTGAAAATTTGGCATTTAAGGCTTTTCAGGTTATGTATCTGTCAAAGTATAGTCAACAAAAGAAATAATATTATGTTTAGGCGTTAAAAATGTATAAATATTTATAACATTACAATAACAATGGATGGTTTAAGAATTTAGGAATATAAAAACTGCATTTAATGAAATTCCAAAGTGTAAGGTGCAATATAAGTGATATTTTTGTGCATTGGGTCTACATTTCTCCATAAAATAGTTTTAACTAAACAGCATTTATTAAAAAAAAATCTAACTTTTCTATTATAAAATAAGAATATCTGTATCAAAGTTAGGTTAATGTATATCAACAAAAAATATCTAATTTTGTTTTTTAAGGTTAAAAAAATCTATTTTGGCCAAAATAAATAAGTGGATTATTTGAAAGAGTGTGTTAATATGTTCATAAATAAAAATAGGTATACTAAATAATTGTTGAATATAGTTCAAATTAAATTAAAGCTTTTATACTTCTAACAACAAAACTTGTGCATACCTCTCGGCATACTTACTTTAAATTAGATTATAAGAAAACAAACAATTTTTAGAGAAACTTGCAATGTGAAAATATTTAATACACCCATGAAATGTGATTTATTAAAATTTTTAAAGTTATAATGATTTTTTGATGTAGATCAAATTCAGTCGAAGCTTTTTAACTATTTGTATTGACAAAACTTTATGTAGGTACACTTTAAGCTGGATAAGAAAAACTACCACATTTTTAAATACTATATTATACAGTCTTTTAAATAATCCAAAATACCTATTTATTTTGGTCAAAATAAATTTTTCTAACCTTAAAATTACAAAATTAGATGATATTTTTGTTATAATATATTAACCTACCTTTAATACAGATATTATTATTCCATAATAGAAAAGTTAGATTTTTTTAAACAAATGCTGTTTAGTTAAAATTATTTTATGGAGAAAACCAGATATTTCGACCAAATGCACAAAAATATTACTTATTTGGCACCATACACTTTAGAATTTCATTAAATGCAGTATTTATATTCTTAAATTAAACCATTAGTCCAGTCATCTAGGCATTTCACCTCGGGATCTAACGGAATAAGCTGATTTTTTGTACAAACCTTTATTTTAGCATTGCAAATGTTGTCTCAAAAGTCACATATGCCAACGTGTGAGCGACCTTAGATATTCAAGGTCAAAGAGAATAAAATTCTCTAGAAATTTTGTGTGGTGCGCTCAGCCATACGTACCTTTAGCGCAAGGTAAATCATGAATCCCAATCTATTATACCGTTTTTTAATTAATTATTTATTAAATATTACTTAAATAACAATTTAAAACCTTATATTTATTTTTATATATTTTTTTAAAACAAATAGTCATTAAATATTACTTACTTCTGACATAAAAATAATTAAATAATGAAGTGAATCATTCTAAATATATTTTAATGTTATTCTAGTTAATGCTAAATGCATTTTAAGAAGAAAAGACATTAAATGAATTTGCCTTGAATATGTCTCTGGTCATCTCTTGGATCCAGATATTGCTTTTAAAATAACAGACCTGGAAATACTATAGTGGGCTTGCTATAAATAAAAAGGTTAGGTATACCTATATTTAAAGCAAGTTGTGACCCTAGGTGTAGGTCTAGGGTTGTGACAGGTAATATTCGTAATATTTTAAAGGGCTGATTTGTGTTTTATTTGTAATAAGTTACTTTCTGAAGGTGATTCTGTGACTTTTGTGCGCGGTATAAAGACTTTAAAAGAAGCAATTATTGAGAGAAATAAACATAAACTACCTAAATACTTTGACTTCTGTGAACGTTTATATTGAGTGTCGAAAATGGTACGCTATAGCGTACTACGTATAGTAAAATTGCGGCAGCAAAACGTCGCCTTGAAGAGACTGGACCTTCAACGTCATCAACTGTACCTCGTAAAAAAGGGAATGATGTGTTTGATTTTAAAATATAGTAAATTTAAAAGTAAACTACGTACACGTCATCAATCAGCTGATCGGGCACGGTTGTCAATGTGATGCTAAAATCCTTGCATCAAGGGAAAGTGGTAGTGCAACTATAGGGCGATAGATGGCGTTTACATGAATAATGCCAAAATGTCAAAAGTCTGAGTTTTTATAACCTATATGATGCACCGCCAAAAGTATGTTTTTAGCCATTTTAAAAGACATTTTCTGATATAAAACCCAAAAATTTTGCCATCTAAAGTCAGTCTCTGGTATAAATATTATTATTTCATGTATCCAACATATATTTTGTTAAATATTCTAATATATAATTATTAATAATCCTATTTACCTCTCTAACAGCTGTTAAAGGTAACAAAGGTCCATTATTATCCCGTTCTGCCTCAAAATAGCGTATTAAGGATGACACCAACTCTTTACTCCGACTATTTAAATGCTTCGGCATTTTAAATATAGGAAACACAAAAAAACGATATATAACAAACACAAAAACGGCAATGAAAACTTAAACGATATAAAATAACACAAACAACAAACAAAATAAACGAAATAATACACGAATTAAACGAAATATTCAAAAACACAACTGACAGCTTCGAAATTCTAAAACGTCAAATTCTTTTTTATGTGTCATTTAAATATGAAAAATTTGAATGTAAACATGACAACATCACAATTGTTGCCAACTTAATTTGGTTAAAATGCATTCAAATATTCAATTACAGACTTCGATTTAGTCATTTAGTGTTGGTACCAATGCGTAAAATTTTTGTTTTATTGATGACGTGTACGTAGTTTACTTTTAAATTTACTATATTGTGCTTATTTTGTGGTGAATTCGCAGATGAGGCAACAAAGGCAAAAAAAATCTGCAAAGTACAAACGCGTTATAAGTAAGTTTTTAAAGATATGACAATTAATGTCAATGATAACGAGGAGAGTGATGATGAGAATGAGTCTGAAATTGCTGGCCAACCTGAAGAAGACGAGGATGAAGAAGATAAAGATAAATAATAATAATAATAATAATAATAATAATAATAATAATAATGGAAATAATAATAATATTGATATAAATAAAAACATTTTTTTCTACTCCGATCCAATTATCCTTCATTAAAATTAAATTAAAATATAAGATATATATATATATATATAAAGATAAAATATATTTGATTTAAAAGAAATATAAATATAAGTATAAGGTATTAAATTTTGTTTTAGTAATATTTATTATATAATTAATTAAAAAAACGGTATAATAGATTGGGATTCACGATTTACCTTGTGCTAAAGGTACGTATGGCTGAGCGCTCCACACTCTGCGCCCTCTATCTCAAAAACGGTTCGACATATAAAAAATTTTTTTGAACAAAATTTGTAGAGAATTTTATTCTCTACAACTTTTATAATAAATGCAAATACGATAGGAGGCAGAGAAAACGAGATATTCTCAAAAAACTGATTTTTGCGACCTTTGACCTTGAATATCTAAGGCCGCTCACACGTTGGCATATGTGACTTTTGAGACAACATTTGTAATGCTAAAATAAAGGTTGTCACAAAAATTCAGCTTATTCCGTTAGATTCCGAGGTTGATCCCTTTTTTTGACTAAGATGACTGTACTACATCCATTGTTATTGTAATGTTATAAAGATTTATACATTTTTAACGCCTAAACATAATATTATTTCTTAAATGCCAAATTTTCAAAAGATTGCGTTCCGTACGTGGTCACGTGGTGGGACTTTGAGGTGTGGAGCATAGTACATTAATCAAATACTATTTAGTTTTGCCAACCTTAATATTTTCAAAAACCAAACACAATCTTTCTGAAACTTTGTAAATGTCTTATTGTCGTATTATAAGTTTTTTTGTTAATATTTTGATTATTTATTAAATTATTTTGCCTTAAATCTATTTTGGATGTGAGGGACTCCATACAAAGTCATCGATAGATAAATGTCAAATAGAAATTTTGTTTGTTCCATTGTAGCCATATACTATAGTAGTATTTTATAAGGGATATTCAATACAGCATTTTTCTGCAGAGAAGTGCTTTATTAAATACCAAAATTAAAATTATAATGTTTTTTTTGATAAAAAGTCTTTTTTTTAAATTTTTGTGTCGTTTCTTTAAATGGGTTTCGGTATAAGCATTACTCTTCGACTATTATTTGATATGTTTTTATTCACATTATGCCTAAAGCACCCAAAAATTCAATCTCCAATCTTATTTATTAATTATTAAGTCTTATCAAAATTTAATATCGAATTGAAGAATAAAGGCGCCTTTATCTACTTTATCGTTCAAGCGCACTAAAGTGCATCTATTAATTATTGACATTTAAAATTTAAACTTTATATTGTATTTTTACTTGAAACTGATTTTAAGGACCAAAAATGAAAAAAGAGCAGGAAATGGGAGTGGTAATGGAAGTGACAGAGAAAGAGGAAGGAGACGAACATTTATGTCGTCGTTGTAAATTTGTTTTGTTTTGTTGCGGTACCTTTACGCCCAAGAAAAACCAACGCAATATTTCATTACAAAATTTTATGAGATATAAATACTACTTTAATTTTGCAGGAATATTAAATGGACCTGATATACGACGTTTAATGAAAGATCAAGCATTCAAAAATGTTGATAAGCTTGTCGCATATGGCAGTGTTAAAGCTGTCATTGAAAATGTTCTTGGTTCATATCGGGCCTAAAATTGGCGCCAATTCATTGAAAAAATGCTCTCCGTTTTGTAAAGAATTAGCGTTAATACCTATGTCATTTAAAATACATTTTCTTTTTTTGATTCTGATAAATTTGTCGAACTGATGAACATGGAGAACGATTTCACCAAGTAACTGCAAATCTAGTGCATTGGTAGATATCTATGGGTATAGCGGAAAGAAGTTGGATTCATTGCTAGGAGACATTTGCTGGAATTTGCAGCAAAAGATGTACGACGATGCTGAGGATTAAGCACAATAATACTATAATCAATTCGATATCTGATACGATTTAATAAATTTAAGGTAGAAAAAAGCAAAATTATGCAATGCATTAAATTTTGTGGGCTTAGTTTGGATAAAAAATACCGAAACTTGTTTACTTTGTTGCCCTTTAAATTCAATAATTAAAATAAACGACAAAAAATGTCAAATAATGTTGTTTTTTTACATAAAATACATTAAAATTTTAGTTTAAGTATTTAAAATGTCATATTGTTAAGATAAATATGATCTATTTGCTGTATGCTAATTACTTTAGTACATTCAAGATAAATTTAAGTGAAAATAATTTAACAAATAATTAAAATACCAACAAAAAACTTACATTTTGTTTTGATTAAGCAGAACATTTAATTACGAAATTATTTTAAATCCTAGTCGTCCTAGAGAAAACTAATGACATTTTTGAAATCAGCGGCCTAGAATTAGTTAAACTAAGCTGGAGTAAAACTATCATAGTATTATAACCTTTCATAGTATTGTAACCTTTTAAATAGCATTTTCGGGCACATGAGATTTGTCTTGTTTCAGACATTTTAAAACACACTCCGAAAACAAATCCTGACTACGCGTCGTTGGAGCTAGCAATGACAATGATAAGAGAAGTGATGACCAACATAAACGAGGACAAGAGAAAAGCCGAATGTCAGGTGAAGATTTTCACGATATTCAACGAAATCGACAACTGCCCTGTAAGAAAAGGAAAAATGTCACCATACAATGTGAGCTTATAAATTAAATTTCAGCCGGAAATCGTGTCGTCTCACCGGCATTTCATCGCGAAAACGGACGTGACGCAGCTGAACTCTTCGGAGGGCCTGTCGAGCAAAGGCTCCAACCTGGTGTTGTTCCTCTTTTCCGATCGCCTCGAGGTGTGCAAGAAGAAATCGAAAGCGTTCAACAGCTTGAAGAGCCCGGGCGTAGGGGGCGGCGGCGCGCAGAGCAAGTACAAGCACGTCAAGCTGATGACGTTGAACGCGATCAAGCGCGTCATCGACGTCGCAGAGTCGGACGAGTGCGTGAACGTGTTCAGTCTCGTTTGCCGGCACAACGACGAGATCAAGGAGCGCCTATACTCGTTCCAGGTGGTCGCCAACGACGAGCCGGAGGGGAGGGACGCGCCGAAAACCTTGGAGAAGGGGGAGTTTCTGAGGACGTTGTCGAGGCAGATGGCGAATAATTCCTGCACGGCCGATGCTGTAAGTACTAAACATTATAACAAACAAAATAACATTTGCATGTTTCCTAAAATGTTCCACCAACTTCCAATGCTAGTTGTTCACGGAGTTTAAGTCACATTGCAGTTTCTTGTTCGGGGCCCTTTGGTGACTTAAAAATGATATTTACCAAAATCCTAGCTGGGTGAATCTCACGAAATGTGTTACCCCCCAATTTGATCCAATTAGTGCTTTAGGATTTTAAAACAAAATAAAACACAAACATTGTTGCAAGGCCAAAGTATTTTGTTTTTATTTGAAAGACTAACTAATTATGTTTTAAAAATAATATCGGTCAAATGACTTTGTTGACAATAGCGCACGGTATCTCACAAATAACATTTCTGATGTTGGTTTTTAAATCCTCAATTGTTCTTGGATTGTTAGCGTTCGACTTCACATAACCTCACAGGAAGAAATCATCATCAATTATCTTGCTGGATAAATTACAGGGCCATTTCTTGAAATACCTTTTTCACCAATAACTCCATGGTTTCGTTGGCGGTGTGGCTCGTAGCGCCGTCCTGTTGGAACCACAATGAGGTAGTTAAATTTTTTCTGACCTATACTTTTTATGGTTTTATTCAAGGGGTTTTGTAATATTAAACATTTCTGTGAAATCAGAATTTCAATTGAGTTTACCGTTTTCGAGATATTTACAAAAAATATACATTTTTATGACGTCACAAACCTCACCATGTGACCAACATTCTAAGATTTCTATTGGTTGAAAATTACCCTGTTGTCAAGTTGTCTTGTTAATGATTTCATTCGGTTATGTCAGAAAATACCCGAAGAGGTTATGTACAAATACTGTCACTGTCAGTTGAGTGAAAGATGGTCACCAAATTCATTAACTACCTATCTTACTTATAACGAGGTATCATATTACTGTTTGATATTTTAGAGTCCAAGATATATCTAAAAGAATATAAAGAACTAGGCATTATACTAATGAAATGCATTTACGACAAAATATGATTATAATTATAGGTGCTTACTTTATTTGTTTAAAAGCTCCAATGTTCAATGTAACCAACCATTCCACAAGATTCCTCTGCTTTGGAGTCCGTTATTAATAAATCACTTATCTAATATCAATTACAAATAACATAACAATAACATTGATTTTCAATAATCTAAATTTAAAAAAAACAACCCGAAAAAAAGAAACGTCAAAAAATCAATTCTTCTTCTTCTTCTCAACTAAAATTTTAGATCAAGTAGTTTTAAAACTAAAATATTATAACGTGGCGCCATCTATCGTGAGAATCTTAAACTAAACACCATAGAATAAGCTGGCAACGTTGTCAATAGCCTAGTGACGTAATTAGGAGACTTTTTTGTAAATATCTCGAAAACGGTAAACTTAATTGAAATTCCGATTTCACAAAGATGTTTAAAATTACAAAACGCCTTGAATAAAACCATAAAAAGTATAGGTCAGAAAAAATTTAACTACCCCATTGTTCCAGTTGGTTTTCGTTAACAATTGGCAAGAAATAGTCGTTCAACATTGCCCGATAACGAACTCCGTTTACCGTAACACGCTCTCCTTGGGCGTTCTCGAAGAAATAAGGCCCAATGATTCCACGCGCATGGATGGCACACCACACTGTAACCTTTTCTGGATGCAACGGCGTTTCTTCATATGCATGAGGATTCTCCTCACCCCAAATTCTGCAGTGCTGCTTATTAACGTAGCCGTTTAAAAAAAAAATGAGCCTCATCGCTGATGACGGATCTTCAGTCAAATGTTCGATCGCCCAAGCAGCGAAATTACGCTACGGCTTTAGTTCTTCAACCAATTGAATTTTGTATGGATGCAAACCTAAATCCTTCCGTAAAATCCTCCAGGTTGATCCATATGTAAGGTCCAATTGCTGAGAACGATGTCTAACAGACAAATTTGGATTATTTTGAACATTGTCTGCATTTCTCACATTTCTGACACGATTTGTTTTTGGATTATTCAACAATGCAAACTCATTTTCAAATTTCTTCACAACATTACGAATTGCTTGTTCACTTGGTCGTTGATGTGGACCATATCGTGCACGTAATCCGCGCCAAGTTGCCTTTACAGAGCTTTGGTTTTGATAATAAATTTTAATAATCTCGAAACGTTGTTCTGGTGTTAAATGTTTCATGTTGTTTTGTAATAACCTAACCTACAAAACTGTCAAATATAAATAAATTTCACTTTAAAATCCTAAAGCACTAATTGGATCACCCTTTATTACTAAAACCTATCCTCCGTAACTGATACTTTTTCTAGCTTAACCTATTTGTTTTCAAATATCTGAGGTGGTAAAAGCATACTAAAAATATCACTTCACTAAGTAAATTAAACACATCCAAAGCAATCGAATCAAGTATAAAATATTATTAAAAATTAAAAGAAATATTTTTTATAACCATTTATGTGGGTGTTCCAAAAATTGATTCTATCCTCCGTAAATATATAGAATGCTGTTTTCATGCTGAGCACATCATTAGATTTATACAGGGTTAGCCAAAAATCACTTTTATATATAGGTAGTAAAAAGCATAATGCACAAAAAAGATTTATCTCCAAAAAATGTAATTTTATTCAAAATCAATTTTCCCTACAAAGGGTTAATAAGAATCCCATTTTGTAGCCTGATAAACATAAAAATATCTAAAAAAAACATGGTTGGGTATATCTTTTTTGCGTGTTATGCCAAAATCATGAATTTACGCTTTTCCTTTATTAAAAGAAGCGATAACAATATACTCCAATATTATAAATTTATGTGTATAAATGTGTACTCTGTCAAAGATAGACTTTAAGATAAACAAAAATTGAAAAAAATCATGTATTTTCAAAAAATTTCGAAAAGAGGAGCAGTTAGGATTTTGGTAAATATCATTTTTAAATTACCAAATAGTCCCGAACAAGAAACTGCAATCAGTTTTTGGTGGCATTTTTATGTGACTTAAACCCCATTCAGGCACAAAATGAAAAGATGCTTTATGTTTGTTTTTTCTGTTCAGAGGTAAACCTCAAAGGAAAAAGTTAATTTTAATCTTTTTATTGCGGCATTGGAGACAGTAGGTATGTTGCTATTTTTATTTAATTTGTTTCGTTTGGTCTTAAGTGGAGTAACAACATATTATTTGAAATTAACAAGCTTGAAATGCTTGTGGAATCCCAGAGACTTTTTGTTTTCAAAGCAATAAAAAGTTTCTTATTGTGTCGTAGCTTTATAAATACACGAAAAATATGATAAGAAGCGAAAATATTTCGAATGTAACCAGACAAGCATTGTGCGATTTTTACTAAATTACACCTAATTATTCCTTTGGCTTTTTCCATTTCAAAACGACCGGTACGCGCAAGTCATGATTTTCTTTTTCTATGAAACTTAAATATGTTGTTTCTGGTCGAAATAATAAGACGCATATTTTTTTTTGGCGAAAAAAAATTGTTTCAATTGATTTTTGGCGAAAAGCCTTTTTTTAAATGCGTATAACTTGTTCAAAAATTGACTGATTTGACAATTAAACTTGCAAAGTGCTTGTACACTTTCCATTAAAAGTAACAAAAATTTTAAATTCATTGTGTACAGAATTTTTTCAAAATTTAATTTTTCAAAAAGTTAATTTTTTAGTTATCAAAAAGTAGACAGTCCAAACTGCATTTTGGCTAAGGCTAAGACTGTTAGCCAAAACTTTTCATTAAGAAGACATGATTTTTTTTTCAAATTATATACGATCGCGTATTTAAAATTTGATTTTGAAAGTAAATTTTATGTGTAATAGCAAACAAATAAGATTGTAATTTAAAGTTCATTGTGGTATAATCGTTATACGTATTTCAAAAAAGCTTTTTGGTCAACTGAAAAAATCTATTTTTACCACAAAAAATAAATCGCCAAAATCAACAAAAAGATTTTTTTTTCGCCAAAAAAAATGCGTGTCTAATTATTTCGACCAAAAAACAACATATTTAAGTTTCATAGAAGAAGAAAATCATGACCTGCTAGTACCGGTCGTTTTGAAATGGAAAAGCCCTTTGTAATTTTTATTTCACATTAGATAGCTTGTTGGTTTATTTATTGTTTTTATTGTTTGCAAACCTCTTTTTTTTACTGTGACTAAAACGCACAAAGTCACAACTTGTCAATGTGTATTTAAATCACTAATTGTCATAGAAACATACCGTGAACCAGATAATACGCGGTCAACACTAAGCAAATAAGTTTTAAAAATACTTTTGGACAAGTTTGTCAAGTGGACGGTCAATAATTATTATAATATTATTATAATAAGAGAAAAATTTAAAAACATACTGTTAGACAAGTATACAAAACAGCAACAGTTTATTTGTGTTTGTCCTATTGTATATTAGTCCTTTAAGCCCGCGGTCCGTTCCTACCCCTAACCCGCACAAGCCATTCAATTGGCTTCTGGGACTTCTTAGGAAGTAAGAGCACTTTTGTACTATTTTTAGTTGTGGAAAATTTCACTTAATTAAGTTATTCAAAATTAAATGCTTAATTCTTTAAAAAGCTTGTCTTAAAAATACTAAGCCAAAAGGCAGCATATAAAATATTGAAAGTATTAGGATAAGAGTAATTTTTTTATATTAAAAACAATAGGTAACAATAAAAACCGACTTTTGTTATTTATTACTTAATATTGTAGGTACGGCCTTTTTGCTTAGCAGGGCAATATAGCGTTAGTTTGCAATTTTCGGGATACCCTGTATAGTAACCACAGCTGGGAGTATCTTAAAAAAAAGATACTTAGAAGTAACTTAGATACTTTATCTAAGATACTTTTTATATTGGACAGAAAGTATCTTGTAACATGATACATTCAAGTAACTTAGATACTTTAAATTAACTATGATACTTTTTAAAGTAACTAAGATACTTTTTAATGCAACTTAGATACTTTTCAGTGTAACTTAGATACTTTCTTAGAGAAAATTGGTGGAATTCCAGAATGATTCAAAGTAATTGAATAACCTACAACTTGTTGAATTTTCATAATTTTATAGTTTTTATTCACACTTAAAAGTAACTTAGTGACTCAAAAGTATCTTAGTTACTTAAAAGCATCTTAGTTACTCAAAAGTATCTTAGATACTTTCATATAGTATCTTAAAAATTTTCGGATAGTATCTTAGATACTTTTTAAAGTATCTTGTAACTAAGATACTTTTTACTCAAAGTTTGTAGTTACCAGAGGTAACTAAGTTATTTTGTTTAAAGTATGTTAGAAAAGTAACTAGATACTTTTCAGAAGTGACTTTCCCCGCTCTGATAGTAACACTGGCTAAAATCTCTGATCGGCCATCGTGTTTTTCAGGACAAGTTCCTCGCGTATCTGGAACCTAGTCAGCTCGACATCGACACCGACATCTCGAACGGCACGTTATCGAAAGCGAGAGCTTTTGCAACGCGCACGCGCCTGAAAGTCGGTCGCGCCTTCTCCTTCAACAAGACGCCGTCGAAGCTGAAGCGCGCCGTTTCTTCGATGATGTCGCCATTCGGCAGCTCCACCAACCTGACGCCGGCCTCGCAGCTCGCCCAGATGAAGCTGCAAAGCTACACTAACATAAACGTAAGTGCTTATTCAATGTTTTCATTTTTTTTTTGGAGTGGTTTTTGTATGGTGTTGGTGATTTAGGTATTTGTTTGGTTTGTCCTGTTTTTTGTTTATTTTGGCAGTTGCAATGACCTGATTAACAACGTTTAGTTATTATACAGGGTGATTCATTTAACTTGAAACTTTGAAATTTATCAGTTAGGATGCATTTTACAAAAAAATGTTTAAAATAAAAATTAAATGATTCGAGGGGGAATTCAATCACTACTAAAATTGGTCCTCATACTCTCCTCATAACTAAAAATAGGTAGATTTTGTCTAAAACATTCTTTCCTATTTGTAATAGATGGCGCTGTAATGAAAAAAAATCAATTTTTCTCTATACGATTCTCCAATAATTTTTGAATAAAATACTTGGTTTTATTTTTTAAATTTATTATTATTTTTTTTAAATTTTAATTTAATTTATTTTGTTTTAATATTCTGCTAACAATGCTCTGGGATATTCCAAATGCTAATACATTAATTTCATTATTTACACCTGTGACTGTTACTCGACGAACTCTTTTTTTCGGTTGAACACTCCCGTTTGTAGTAAACTGCTTGACTGTACGGTGAAATGAAGTACCTATGTGATCGAATTTTTTCCGGAAAACGCTGAGCAAACTCAAAATCATTTCTATTTTTTCTTCCACTGTTAAAAAATCCATTATGAATAACTACTTAACGAAATGAGGTCTTTTGTTTGCAAATTAATCTTCGAACTGAATTTATTAAATAATGTTAAACTATGTATAAATAGTTTATTTTTTTTATTTATTATTTATAACTAAATACCATTTGTTTATACCTCAATTAGGATTAAATTAATTAATTGACAAAATAATGTTTTTTTTTACCTTAAATGAGGTAGTTTTATTAAAAATAGTACAATAATCCTTTAAATTAAAGGATGTAATGCTGGCAGGTAAAAAGTGACCATGGTGCGCAATTGATAATTATCACCAAATGAAATAATGTATAAAACTTAAACCAAAGGAAACTTAAATATTAGTTAAAAAATCGTGGGTACTTAAAAAAATCAGATTTAATTTAATAAGATAATTATTAACATTAAAGTGATATTTTTATAGAAAAATTATTGCAGAATCGTATAAGAAGAAAAATCGAACAAAATTGATTTTTTTTTATTACAGCGCCATCTATCAAAAATATGAAAAAATGTTTTAGACAAAATCTACCTATTTTTAGTCGAATGATACGAATCTGCAATAAAAAATAGGGTGTTCCATTGAAAATTTTAAAGTTGCCCCCTGTTCCCCCTATAATGAGGAGAGTATGAGGACCAATTTTAGTACTGATTGATTTCCCTCCTCGAATCATTTAATTTTTATTTTAAACATTTTTTCGTAAAATGAGATATTTCAGTTTCAAGTTAAATGACTCACCCTGTATATCTACAAAATAATTTTTAGTACATTATTAAAAAACTAAATTTAAAAAAATCATTACTCTATAAAAGTTAATAATAATAATATTAATAATAATAATAATAATTACACATAAGCACAAGAAATAAAAAAGTATTGTCCACGAGATTATACAAACATTCATATACGTTTTTTGGGTTGGGTCGCTGAATCCGAATCCAGGATTGATTTGACTCGGTCAGATCACATTCAAGTTAAAAGAAACACCATGTAGCCACATTTAACATCATAATTTATCCAGTCAATAGTTTTTTAAAAAATAAAGGTAGTTTGTCAAATAAAATATAGTTGGATTTTGCCTTATCCTTAATAAAACTGTCTACATCAATACATATTTCTGTAACCCAGAGCCAAACTGTATTAAGTCCACAATTTTAAAATCACATTACACATTTTTCCGCTATTTCCAATGGTAAACAAAATTAAATGCGGGCTTTATTAGTTCTTTGATATATCAAAAACTAAGTCAGACAGGACTGAATCCTATTTATCATTGGAAAGAGCGAAAAAATGTAGGCGTGATTTTAAAAAAGTGGACTTAATAGGTACAGTTTGGCTCTGGGTTAAATATTCTAGTTTCGTTTTTTCTCAATTTTTTTTGATTTAATAGTAAATAAAAAATAGTTATATATAACTATTTTTTATTTACTATTAAATCAAAAAAAATTGAGAAAAAACGAAACTAGAATATTTAACCCAGAGCCAAACTGTACCTATTAAGTCCACTTTTTTAAAATCACGCCTACATTTTTTATATATTCATATCTACAAATCTACATATCTACAAATCTTTATTTATTGTGGGATTTTAACCGGATTTGTTTTAAAGTGTAGATCTTTCTAAACTGTATTTTTGGAGCAAAAAACGCCATATTTGTACTAAATACAAAGCCTACTATGCCAGTTTTTAAGATTCAATTTTTAAGTTTTTTTTTAACAAAATCTAAGAACGGCAGTGGACCCTTAATTTTATTAAACAATTTTAAGTAGAAAAATGCACAATAATAACTACAAACATTTATTCTGTCAAGTAATCCATGAAAAAACATTGAAATAAAACTAAACTTATAGTAATAGTACCATGTTACTATTAGTTTAATTTTATTTCAATATTTTTTTCATGAATAACTTGACAGAATAAATTTTTTTGTTTAATTTAGGGCTATTGCCAATGAACTCCACTCTATATGAATCAAGAATCAAGAATAAAATAATTTTAAGGTATCCTTAATGCATATTAGTAAATATTTAAACAACCTACCTACCTACGCGTAAATGCGACGCTAAATTTAAAAAAGGGTGGTATATCAATAACAACTTACTTACCTTCAATTTTCTTTAATAATTTACTTCGATGCTGACCACTCTTCTAATAATTTTTTAATGAAATACGCCCTCTCCCTTACAAAGAGAAAGAAACGCTGCATGAATAGGCATAAAATTTCAGAGGAACGTGTCGGCATCTCCACTCCTACACGATTTCAAAAATATGTATTCTTGGCAAAAGAAAATACTGTTTATTAAAACGAATCAAAAAATTTAAGAATATCTAATTCTTGATATAAAAAAATATTAACAATTGTACCAAGAAACCATTGAAATAAAATAAAGCTTAGTAATAGTAATGTGACTTTTAGTTTAATTTTATTTCAATATTTTGTTTATAAATAACTTGACAGAATAAATTTTTGTAGTTATTGTTGTTCATTTTTTTCATTAAAATTTAGTGAGAGGGGTGCTGAATCTAGTGCCGTGCTTAGATTTTGTTTAAAAAAATATGATATACTCTTAAAAACTAACATAGTAGGCCTTGTAAAAATATGGCGTTTTTGCTCCAAAAATACAGTTTATCAAGATCTACACTTTAAAACAAATCCGGTTAAAATCGCACAATTAATAAAGATTTTACAGGGGTGAGTCGCAAACAAATGGCTCACACTGTATGTATGTAACCAATCTCATATGTTATTACGAGAAACAGTATTTTACTTTAAAAATAGAAATTGAAAATAAAAAGCACCTTATCCTAACCAATTTTATTACAAAAAAAAGGGAAAAAAATTACAGTTGGTTAATGTGCGCAATCGCAAACTAATTTAAAAAAAATCTCCCCCTTCAAACTTAAATCGTCATGTCTTGGCTTTTGCCAATAATTATTAGTAAATTTCATATACCTACAGTGTGTTCCATCTAAAACGAAATACCTTAAATAACTCAGCTGCTGTTTAAATTATAATTTATACAGCAGCTGAGTTATTTAAGGTGGTTCTTTTTAGATGGAACACACTGTAGGTATATGAAATTTACTAAGAAAGAAAGTACAATTTGACCACATTTTTTTTGACAAACTACCTCTATTTTTCAATAAATTATCCTGATAATTTTTTTTTGCACAACCCTGCTTCCCCTTCAATATATTTAATCACAAAACATATTTTATTTATTTCTGATGTCCCATCAAAGTACACTAGACTATTATCCCAAAAATGCCTACAATATAAAATATTTAAAACCTACCACTGTATGTGATGGGATATCTTTTTTTGTGTTTAGGACAAGAATTGATAATTGAACAACGTTCATATCTCGTGTATGGTGTTGATAATTCAATTTGAATGATAACAAAACCAAGCAATTTTTTAAATTTCATTAAAAAAACAAAAAATGGCTATTACGCGAAAAATTCTTTGGCTGACCTGAACAGAAAAAATATAGCCCATCTCTGTTGATTTTTTTTTAATTTTTAAAGAAGAACTTTATTCATACATTGGAACAAGTTATATAAATATTTTTACTATATTTTCAGATGCCACGTGAATCTAAAATGTACTATTTGATGAACGCTTTAAATCTTTTATAACTTGCTATTATTTTGTTTTGCTTCTAACGCTTTTTGCAATAAAGTATTAACTTTTACATAAATAATTATTCTATATATATATTTACAGTTGATTATATTAAATATTTATACATTTTATTTGATTACTTATGTGATAAAATTTCAAAATTAATTAAAAAATGTTGCATGCTGTAGCATAGATTAAAATAAACCAAAACTAAGCTGCAATATATTGTTTTATTTTCAAAAATCCAATTTCACGAAATTCAATTTGCACATTTTTCATCTCACCTTAAACATATCCTAAATATTTACTTTAATATTGTAAATATGTATATTTTATTGTATATCACAAAAGGGTAAGTATAGTTTTATATTAATGCTTGTGTTTTTTTGCTATGCTTATTTTATTCACATTAACTATTTTTATAAATTATATTGATTTATATTGGTATTATATTTGCATTATTGGTTTTTATTCAAGCATGATTCATAAAATATTAATAAACTATTGATGTTTATCAAGGACTGTATTGTAATACGAGAAATACACTGAAAAAAAATATTCTTGTATCAAATAAATTTATTTGATTCAAAACAATCTTTGTCTCATATATGTATAACGAAGAGAATATGTATTTTCTTTAACCAAATAATTGATTGTTTTAAAGCAAGAATATGTTCTTTTAAAAATAAATTAGTGGTATTCTTAAATAAAAAAGATACTTACTTTATTCAAGAATAAATTTTCTTAAAACAAAAACATGTGATATTAAAATAAGGCAATAATTTTCTTAAATCAAGATGTTTTCTGTAACCCAATATTTTTTTAATTAATTGATTCAAGTTTTAAAATTTTATTTCATTGATTACAAAATAATATTTATTTTAAAACAATGCAAGAAGTATTGGTAAAAATAAAATGTATATATCTTAATTTTAAGCTACTTTTAGCAATGTTACAAAAAATCTATCATTTTGTATTTAAAATCAATAAAATTTTACATACTGATATTAACTAAATATTATTTATTTTAATAATAAAAGCAATTAGGAATATTACTGCAAAAGAAATAAAATTTAAAATAAAAATACGTCTAAACACTTGAAGGGGACTGGAGTAATTTTAAAAATCCTGTCTAATCTTAAACGAAACTTTATATTTAAATACTTACGGATTATTCAAAATTGAGCCAAACTTACTGAAGGGCCAAAGTATACGTTGTATCGTTTCTAGGTGGTGCAGTAAGCAAAAAAATGTAGGTTAGAAAATAAAAAACCAAACGTTGAACAAACACATTTACTTTGTTTTTAATACAAGAAAAATCTAAAATGTATACATTATTATAAATTAACGTAGGGAACTTAATTATTATTATCGACATATTTTTCATTTTAAATAATTTGTAATATTTTAGGCATAGTAAAAAAACAATTACCAATTTTATAAAATAATTTAGAGCTATTGCCAATGAACTCCACCCTATATGAATCAAAATTAATGTTATACCCCAAAGTGTGTAACAAAATTACTTCTAAAACAATTTTTTTTTAAATGTCATAAAATAAATAAAGTTTATTAACTTAAAATTATAGAGCCATACAAATCAGATTGTTAAACACATAATATATTTTGGTTATTACTGAAAAGCCTATTTATTTATGAATAAAATAATTTTAAGGCATCCTTAATGTATATTAGTAAATATTTAAACAATAAACCTACCTACCTACACGTAAATGCGACGCTAAATTTAAAAAAGAGTGGTATATCAATAACTACTTACTTACCTTCAATTTTTTTTTATAATTTCCTTCGATGCTGACCACTCTTCTAATAATTTTTTAATGAAATACGCCCTCTCCCTCACAACGAGAAAGAAATACTGCATGATTAGGCATAAAATTTCAGAGGAACGTGTCGGCATCTCCACTCCTACACGATTTCAAAAATATGTATTCTTGGCAAAAGAAAATACTGTTTATTAAAACGAATACAAAAATTAAGAATATCTAATTCTTAATAAAAAAAAAATGAACAAAAAAATAAGAATATCTTATTCTTGATATAAAAAAATATTAACAATTGTACCAAGAAACCAACTAAGATTTCCTTCAAGAATATTTAATATTTGGATTGAAACAATATTAGAATATTTCCAAAACTACAAAATTCTTTTTTAAAGAAGTTAAATATTTTTAGTTGAAATACCTATATATCTTATTTTAAAGCAAGTTGACTTCAATTATATAAATATTTTTAAGATGATAGGTGTTCTAAATATAAGAAATCTTTTTTTTCAGTGTATTTGTAATTAAATATTCACTGACTTCTTATATTTAAAAAATCGCCATAACCACCGAAATATTGAAGTTTTACACACATATTTTACAAGTTTCTTGCTACCCTTTCACCTTAAAACAATTTATAATTTAAAAGCCCATATTGTAATGGAAAACAATAAAAATAAGTTTAAATTAAAGATATATGTTATTAATACTTTAATTAATAATTGAATTCATAAATTTTTTTTGATTTCAGGAATTAGGGAATACAGAAAATGAGGATGAATCTCCGCCAGTGGCGCCCATGTCGGTACAACCAACAAGAAAAATGAAAGCTGGTTCGTTAGGAGTGAACTCCTTGAAAAGATTATAATAGTTTTTTATTTATAAGGTTTACCTTTTAATGATATATTTTATTGATCAGATATATTTGTACAGATATAAGTATATTAATATAAGAATGAACATTTTCATCATCTTTTATTTCGAATACCTTATTTATATTATAAATAAAATTTTGTAAATTGTTCTAATTATACTATTCATTCTAGAATATTTTAATGTAATATATTTATTAATGTACAAGTCGGTTAGATTACTTGTAGTTTTTTACTGTGTTATGCCTTATAGGCGAAATAAAGAAAAATGCTACTTTTATTTGTTTTTATTTAGTTTTATTTCCTTGCGTTTTTTAAATAATATTTTTTCAACCTTTCAATAAAAAAATTGTGGTATCAAGCAAAAAGTTTCTAAATGGGTGAATATTAGAGCTTCACGGAGGTTAGGATTTCGTTTTTTTTTTATAAAATTGTACATGTATATGTACATGTGTATGTATACAAAAATATTTATAAAAAAATCTACTTACTGAGATATTACACTTCACGGTGGATAAGTTTTTAACTAGCACATTAATGATCTTAAACTTTTGAATTATAAAACAGCAACACTCTCATCTGCATATAAATTCTAACTGACCTTCAGGAATCACATGCATCTATAATGTCGTAAACAGAGGTTTTTGCTTATTTAAAATGATTCAAGCATAACATTTAAAGCAAAATCTAGAAGCTAAGCTGTAATATCTACTTAATTATGAAAGATCAAAAATCAATAAAAGTGTAGGTCAAACTCATTTAGTTTTATTAAATATCACTAGGTAACACCATCGGGGGACATTTCGTGAGATTCACCATAAAGTATTAAAATTAGATAATTCTTAATTTATTTAAAATTAAAAATACTTTTATACTTGAGTACTTTTAATATTTGGGCTCTCCTTTAGATCTGACAAAACATTTGGGCCACAACCCCATCTGTTGAGAAATTTTGTGTGTAGGTTTTATTGTACGTTTTCATTCTGCAGGTCTACACCATTTTAAAATCAAAACAATTTTGTTGACATGTTCAATCAAAAATTTGATCTTAAAATTACTAATTGAGGTTATATTATAGTATTTTTGTATCCATAACCCCTTCAAAATCCTTATAAATGTTTTCAATATCCCTTCTTATTGAGAAATCATTAGTTAAAATGTATGAAAACGGTTTAGGTGAAAATTTCTGGTAGAGGAATAAAAATGGACTTTATGTGGAAAAAAGTACATATTTCCTGATGAACAAGACTCGTTTTTACTTCGAAAAAGTATTGTACAATGCGCAACCCCAGGTAGCACAACGTAACGAAATCTTGACGTAAACGAGACGTTTTCAGTCAGTCGTGCACGTGCAAGTCATGACTTGGACGTTATTTAAAAATCGTAACGTATTTAATTAAAAACAGTTGCCAAACCGCGCTAAATTTAAGCATAGTTTTTGTGACGAATACGTTACATTATTATGAATAAAAATCTTCACGATGTAGTTAAGAATACGCCACGGATTCTTCACGATGATTTGTCACGGTTTCGTCACGACGCTTCGTTACCGAATAGTGAACTGAACTGGTCACGTAATTGTGGCGTATAGTTGCATTATTTGGGGGTGTAATAATATTGTGTAGTGTAATGCAGTGCAGTACGGTATAGTGGGTTGTTTTGTGTATTGTGGAATTATTGCTTACCTTCAAAGTTTTGTAATTTGATTTTAACCTCATCATCAGGTGGGAAATCAAATTACAAAACTTTGAAGGTAAGCAATAATTCCACAATACACAGAACAACCCACTATACTGTACTGCACTGCATTACACTACACAATATTATTACACCCCCAAATAATAACATATTGTTGTTAGGATTGTTTAGTTTTGCAATGTTAATGCAAAGAACATTTAACTGAATTATATTTTATTAGAAAAACAATAAAAACATATTCTACAATAAACTATAATATATATTATATATATATATATATATATATATATATATAGAAAAACACTAACAAAATAAAAAAATATTACTCTTATACAATAAAAATACCTCCACTTTTGAAAACCAGCAATAATTGCAATTAGTTTTCAAATTTCATATCTTTGAAAAAAAATTAAATTATTTTTCTATTTTAAGGATAAAACAGTACACAAAAATATAATTCTCCTGTAGAATAAAACACTATTTTATTAGAATATACCTAATATAAAATTTTAAAACAGTAAAACAAAATAAACAAGTATTTCTCTTATAAATTAAAAAATGAAATGAATGAAGTCAATTAATAATTCATGTAGTATAAAATTTTTATTTTATTTCTGCAGTTTCTTTAACTGCAACATTTATTTATAATAAACTTACTTAAATAACACTAGGGTTCAGCTGAAGTACAAACCTGTGATTTCATCTTATCATATGTATGCTTAATGTGCATAATGTGCTTTTCAACGTCATCCTTTGTAATATTTCTTTCCCCCGAGACAACCGCCCAGATAGCACAAAGAAGTACTAAAAACGTCCTGAGTATATCTTGTATCAGACATTAGTAAGTTCCGAGTACGTCCGAATCAGGTCCTGAACCTTCCCCAGGACGTTCCAGGGACATCCGATGTTACCAAATCGTCGGTCCCCAGAACGTCCTAAGTAGGACATCCTCTGGCCATCCTGAAATGCTTTATTGGGGACTAAAGGACAAGCTTTACAGAATTGAAGAGTGGTATTCCCAAAGGCCCAGACAGCAATATGACGTATTTTATTAATTTGTTAAATGGATTTTATTAAAATCATTTTAATAATTTGCTCGTATTCGCTTATTTTAGGAATTGCGATTACTTCGTCTCACTTTTGTTTAAATTTAAGCGTGCTCTTCACCGGCACCGATAGACGGCCTGTTTCCCGCTTTTGGAGCTCGTCAGTATCGAGTAGCCGTTTACCTAGGTCTAAGACCGTTTGGTATGAAGCACGCTCTAAATTCTACTTCGCCGCTTCTTATATCAAACACAAGCGGTGAGAAGACAGAATCGCAATAAAATGTCATAAATGTGACGTCTCCAAGTTGACGTCTTAAAAAGTTAATAATATGATTCAGTAAGAAGTAAGAAAAGATAATACTGTAAGATATCATATAACTACAGTTTAATTAAATAAATGATAATATATTATTTAACCAACTTGGCACTTAGACCCTTTGGAAACACAATGCTTCAATTACGTCCTTGGGACGTACCCAGTATATCCGCTATAATTTTCCCAAATAAGTAAGAGACTGGGCGTACCCAAAACTTCCGATATAGGTCTAGGACGTTCGGACCTATGTGGGACCCAAAATGGACGTCCTGGGTACCTCTTGTGCTATCTGGGCGAAGACAATTGTGTTTGCCATCAATATGTCTTTTAGTCTAAAGTTTTCCAGTTGTGTGGAGTGTGTCCAGAGTGTCGACTGTAAAACAGTGTATGTTATGTTGGTTACCAATTTTTTAATTTTAATTGACCTGCAAAATGAGAAGAAATAAGTAGTTTTCTCCATGGCTTTGTAAAATTTTATTTCACGTACAAAAAAATGTATTTTTTCCTCTTTCAGTAGAAATTCAACTTAAAATACTTAAGCTATAATAATAAATTTGTTAAGGATATATTAACACACTAAAAATGTTGTGGTTACTTATATTTTGTTGCTACAGCAAAACATTTCTTAGATTAGTGTGGAGTTGTTTAGCATTGCAGACAATTGTCTTAAGCTACTGAAATATAGAAAAGCAAAAGTACTTACGGTTTTAAACTATCCTTTTGTTTACCATTAAAAACTTTGCAGAAATATAGAAAAACCTACAGAAACCAATGGCTTGGGTCGTTACCAATCATTCAAAATGGAGATCCTACTGGAGATGCACAGAACATATGACTATTGGCGACTGCGCATTGGTGTCACGACTTTACGTGATGTTTTCGTGACGATTTGTATAAATATTTTGTAACGTTTTTGTAACGAGCTGCACGTCAAGAATTTTATACCAAAATTTAAAGTAAAATTATCACTATTTCGTGTGACTAACGACTTTATGAAAAAATTCGTCACGTATTTTCATAGACCCCTCGTCACGAATTTGGCGTCACGCAATTTATTTACTTTTTATTAAAATTTCCTTAATCGTAACGAAATATTGTCTCGTTTTCGTCACTTCTAATTTTTAATGTCACGTTGTGCTACCTGGGGCGTTCCGCGACTACCACACACTACGGGAAATTATGCATTGCGGTTTTAAAAAACGAACAAAAAAAAAGGCGAGTACCAATTTTTATTTATGTTTTCATACCGCTCTATAGATTTTACGCGCAACAGGCAAAGAATAGTATGTATATGCTGTAACAAGTTTGGAATACAGCATATTCCGCTCGAGTGAAGAGTTTGTCACACGAGCCGAAGGCGAGTTTGACGGTTTCACGAGAGCGGAATATGCAATTCCAAACGTGTTTCAGACTATACTTTTTCTACCTTTCCAAAATATACCATAGAAAAGTCATTTGATTGGAAGAAAGTGAGGTTGGATCGGTCTAAATTTGTTAGATATTAAAAACAGAGATGTCGCCACGAGTGTTCATTCTGTCATCAGATGATAGAATATTTCATTCTGTAAGACTTTACGGAATATATGTCATTCCATAAATAAAGTGATATTAGAACGGTCAAATTCTGTAATAGAAGTAGAAAAATTGTTTTTAGGTTTCAATACGCTACCGCGGTACTGTTTAAAAACCCCACAGACGTCAGTTTGACACAAAAACTGACGGAAAACGGCGAAGTGACCAGATTCTGTCAAAAAATAGAGGGACATTTTGTATAAATTAACTATAGTTAACCTTATAAGGTTCATTTTTTTTATCTGGACTCGTGTTTTTTTTGTTAGGTTGGTGACTTATGCCAGTTTGACTTAGTATTTTTAGTATTTAAAAATGGTACTTCTGCTAAAGAATTTAATTAAACACTTTGACACTGTCAAATTGACAATAATATTTATTATTGATAATTTACTTGTCAATTATAAATAAAAAGATAATTATGCCAAAAATAATAGCAACAAATTCGAATTTAAAAGCCCTTTTGAGGGCAAAACTTCATTT